ACCACTAGACCACAGAGGCAGTCCAAGTATTTTTCATATGAAACCAATTTCAAATAAAAGTTGCAGATCATACGATTCCTGTTATGTTAATATTATTTACACAATGAACACCACATCATAAATTCCGATTTGAGCATTGTGTTAAATGAGGTTCATACTAGGCAAAGGCAAATAAAAATTAAGCCATCTTCCCTCCAATTCTGAGGGGTTTATATACACACAAAATACCATTTAAATTATAACACTGTTTATCCTTGTCTGTAATACTGCTGTAAAGTTACATAAATGAATATTCTGCTAAGTAGCCAGGTTTACTTAATCAATTAATAAATAATAATAATAACAAGAATAATAAATTCATACCAAAATAGTGTCTCTGTGTGGTATATTTTGAAACATTCTAGCATTTTTCATGAACATCTACTGAAGTTTATTCAATATCTTGGCAGCACACACTGGCTTAATGGATTTTTCCTTCATTGAATTAGGAGAAAATGGTCTTGTAAAATAGGCCCAATGAGTTGCCCACAGCCTCACAGGCATGTCCTCTTCTTACATAATTCAGAATTATCAGGTCTTCAAGATGGTTCTCAGCCACCAGTAGTATGATCTGGTTGCATTCATCAGCTCTGTTGATGCTATCTTCTTGAAGAAGGCCACATTAGAGAGACCACAAATTTTCTCTTATATATGTATACATACACCAAAACAGTGTCCTTCCCTTTGCTATAATCGACTGTGTGTTTTGGGCTTGTCCATAGGCTCATACATTCTCCATATTTCCTCTCCTGTTTTTCTTACACCAATCTGATCACGCACAATAGACAGTACTGAAACAGCTTCTTGTCCAGTACATTATGACCAGCAGTTTGTGTATGTTGTCAGAGTTCTGAGTTCTTAATTTCCACTTTTTCAGGTCCTACACCTTTTGTTTCTGATCCAGTCTCATAGCATCAAGGCCATCAATACCAGCCTGTAGTAAGATAATACACAGAGATACTGGGTTTTCGGACTTTGTCCATTGTCCGGATTCTAAATAACTAAGAAAAAACACAACGTTTCGGAAACTGGATCTGTTTCAATCACTGGTGATTGAGGCTAGCTCTTTCTAAGGGACCCAACAAAGTAGGTGTCTTCCCTCACCTGAGGATAGAAACAGATACAGTTTCCAAAACGTTGTGTTTTTTCTTAGTTATTTAGAATCCGGACGATGGACAAAGTCCGAAAAGCCAGTATCTCTATGTGTTATGCATCATCGTCAGAACCCTATAGTAAGATAATAGTCATACCGAATGTTACACAGTAATCGGAGCCAAAACATCTGCTACAAGTATATGCATGGTGTCACTATATTTCCCTCTCATTTCAACTCTCTGTATTTTATACAAAATTGAATTCTTTTATACCTTTTGAAGGTATGAATCATGCATAAAACAGCCTGCTCAACACTTTTAAACAATGATCAGATGATGCCAAGATGCTTTAATTTTATGGAAAGATAACTGGTGGTCTCTAAAAATTCATTGTCTATGGTACATAACTATTAGAAGAAAAAGCTTTAATAAAAATGGAGTTTCAATAGATTTTATAGTGTCCCAGCATCATTTAAGCATACAATTTCTCACATGATATTAATATGCACAGTACAGCATACATCCCTTGTGTTCAAATGTATTTGCCTCTTAGATTCTAGATATGGATGAAGGCATGGAATAATTTTCATTCTTATTCGATGGTGAAGAAGGACAAAAGCAGTTACGATATGATGTGTAATTATGTTTCTCATATCCTCCAATTTCAAAACTGAAAAGTATGTCAATCACTTCATGATGGGCAATAGAAATGTTATAATTTCACCATGACTGCATAACCTGCTGGTCAGGCACTCATCACCCATACTGCACATGTCCCATTTTTCAGCATGTTCAGATATGTCTTCTTGAATTTGTAAGCTTCATCTATCCTTTCATCATCATTAGCTTCTAATCACATTGTGCACACTTTTTGAAGCACAGAAATCCTCTGCAATCACTTTGGGAAGCAAATATTTCTTTCCCACTTTTCCCAAATCATCACCATCTTTCTCTGTCTCACCTTCATGGGATGAAACTGAATTACTGTCCTGAAAGAAATTAATTTTGTAAACTTTGATCTTGAGAATTAAAAGAGCTATGGAATAAGGAATTTAATTTACTGTTTAATGATATTTTGTAACTTGTGAATAATCAGTGGTTTCCAATACTGTTTCAGATACCTAAGACAGAACAACAAACAGCAAATGTATTAAATATCTACTGGAATTTTCCACACTGCATAGGCACTATGGACAGTGAACATGTTCGAATAAAAGCAACTGAAAAAAGTGGAAGTATATACCATCACTATGCAGGTCACTCCAAAACTAATGCCTCAAAATTCTTTACTCACTTGCGTGACGTCACATAAAAAAAGGAATGGTGTCAGGTGACCACCAATATCCTGCAAGTTTCAACACTGCAGGCCAGGTGACTGGGCTGCAGTAGTCTATGAAAATGAAGGATAACAATCATGTGTGTGTATGAAGGAGTGATGGATTATTAAGTTTTAGAATGCAGAGAACATTATGCTCACTGAGATTCACTGAAGTCTGAAGAATGTTTATGTCAACATGACACTTAATGTGAGCATAGTTTGGAGATGAGTTTGTGTCGGTGATCATGGTAGTGAGCTGAAGGACACACCATGAAAATGACACAAAATATCACAAACGAGTTCTGTGAATATTTTGTTTTTGACAAAGGAGTTCCCTGGCAAGGTGATTGTGCTCAAATAAATCGCTTGTTATACTTCACATGATAATAAAACGATATATGATTATACTTATCACAAAAATATACTTACTTATTCAGTGCTTCATTTTGACTCATTTCCTTAAGCAAGAAGAGTGAATCATATCGAGGCCAACTAATTTCCTTGAAGAACAACACTACTCTTGGAATCAGTCAGCATCTTATGCTGTCCCTGAAACTGGGTTTTAAAAATGGATGTTTTTTCCATTTTATTACCACCCACAAATTCATTCACGATAATCTATACGGTGTCTTTCTTCTTTGTCCAGTTTCTATAGTCCAGACATGTAACATTCCATAAATATGGCACAAAATACAAGTGATCGCGTAATTTAGTGTCTGCTCAGTTGCACATAAAATGAGACTAAATAAATTACCTCAAAAATTGAAAGCAATCTAATGACTGTATTATATTTAAGACTCTTAGAGCAGAGTATTATCTTCTGCGATGCAATGCCAAGTAATCTTATAGAATTCAATGATGTTTTGGAGGAATGACTCCATTTACAAGGTTTAACAGAAATCAACAAGAAGCAGGCAGCAAGCAGAGTCACCTGTTTCCTGCCTGGCTTACTCTTCAACTTTGAAGATGGAGGTGGAACTTTCCTCTAAACTATTAGTGAACTTCTAGTTGTGTAGATGTTATAATCCAGAAGATAATATTCTTATCTGATACATAATTATTTGGTTTGTGTTCCCAAACATGCCTGTGCTACAACCTTGTTTCCCATACAGAATGGAAAACAGATACATCTAAAATCCTGTCCCAGAACTGTTTCAAAACAGTATCTCAGTGGCTATTATACAGCTGTCAAACATTTTCAAAGCAGAGAGAAAACTGTATCTCACACGCATTGCACAACATTTCTGAAACAAAGTATCCAGTCTAGTCCTTTATATGAGACAGGCCACAGAATCAGTGGAATGTGGATCCATCAAGCTCAAGGTTCAGATACAATACATTCATAACGTCCTTAAAAATTACCCCCCTCAAAAAAAAAACTGTTTTTTGACAATAATCAGAGTTTTTTGCACACATAGTTTTCCTTTAACCACATAACAGGAAGGTTTGAGTTGGTACCTATCTCACAACACTGAATGGTGCAGACATGCCCAAAAATGTCAGTCTCACAGTTTGGTAGGGACTACTGGATCTGGGAGATCTCCCTAGAAAGTCTGAATAGTTAACACAGGATAACTACTGCCAGCCTTGTCAACACTGTATAACGTTGAAACTGTGTTCATGAATAAATGCAACCTTTCCTTTGTCAACGACCATATGGTGGCACAGAGAAGGTTCTGCTGCATCTACCAAATTCCAAGTAGGCAGTTGCTCAGATCCTAGTTTTATATTCCAGAGGTTCTAAACCAAGGATACCTGTTTTCCCCCCACCCATCCACCCACAAGATATGTGAAGCTTCATAAAAGAGTATATGAGATATATATCACACACTGTCAGACAAGGGATGAAAGGGGCTACAATATGTACTGACAACTTTCTTCTCTACATTTTCTGTGCACAGAATAAACAGAATTTGTTTAAAAAAAACAGACTTTGTAGTTCATATAACACAATAACACAGTTAAATAAAGAGAGCACATGGGTGTACAAGCTGAAGAAGGTCCACAACAACTGTTCTATTATACATCCTTCTTTATATGTTTAAATATGGTGTAACTATGCAAACTGGCCGCGCCATAGCTCAAGCGGTTAGTCGCTGCCTTCCCACCGCGGCAGCCCAGGTTCAATCCCGGGTCTGGTAAAGTGGGATTTGTGGTGGACAAAATGGCACTGGGGTGGGTTTTCTCTAAGTACTTCGGTTTCCCCTACCAATCTTCACTCCACCAAATTCTCCTTCATCATAATCACCCCAGGCAGGTACAATAGGCCAATCAGTGGCCGCTGTGCCAAGTGGACCCAGCTGGACTACACTCCTCACTAAGCAAATTAAAAAAAAAAATATGAAAACTAATTAACTTTTAATATTCTGTATTTCTTGTCTGGTCATGAAGGTCATCATGTAAGTGTTATTCTATTTCCACAAAATACTCTGGTAAATCTTGTACAGCCTGCAGCAGACGGCTTGATGATACATTACTTCAACATCTCAAATGGAAGAAATTGGTGTTAAACACAACTGGAAATTACACTATCAAATGATATTTCTTACCTTAGAAATCTGCGCCACACATCTATGAAATCTCTAGAAACCAGATGTAACACTTGATTTGGAAACTGTTTCTGCCGTTGAAGTGATGCAGAGTTACCAAGGGGGACACGATTCCGGTCATAGTACAGATCCAACAGGCTGTCTTTCTGAAGGGCCGCAGTCTGACGGTATACATCACGAGCAGCTTTCCCTTGTGTCACTAGGTTCTTTGGAAACAAAGAAGGAAATATCAGTATGTTAGAGTATAAGCATACAGTAATAGCAGTAAATGACCAACTGTATAGCCCCAGATCTGCCTGACAGGCGAAAAGGAAAGCTTAATGTCCTGCAAATGTCTCACTCCATACGAAGCAACTTCCTCCTGCCACACTCCCCCACACCAACAATCAACAAATGGAAGTAAGCAGACAGCTGATGGCCGCGCCACAGCTCAAACAGTTAATAGCTGGCTTTCCACCGCGGCGGCCTGGGTTCAATCCCGGGCCTGGTCAAGTGGGATTTGTGGTGGACAAAGTGGTGCTGGGGCAGGTTTTCTCCAAGTACTTCGGTTTCCCTTGCCAATCTTCATTCCACCAATTGCTCCACAATCACCCTCACCTATCATCTGGGGCTGGTACAATAGGCCAGAAGTGGCCGCAGTAAAAGGAACTTAGTCCCACACCACTAGCAATAAAAAAAGAAAAGCAGACAACTAAGACCTCAGTCTTAACTGGGTCATCTAAAGATCTGTTAAGCATACCTCACTCAGTCCATAATACAGAGCCTTCTTTAGCATTTGGTACTTATTTCTACTGGTCAAGAAATTCCCTGTCTTTTTAGAATCTGAGATTTTATTACTGTGTTCACATAAACATACCACTGGACCCTATTCTGAACCAGCTGAATTGAGTCAACATTTTCAGACTCTTTTTCGACAGGCTTTATTTCTGATATACTATTTGTATAATATCAAATGCAAGTTACCATTTGTGTGTATCTTGTTTATTGCTTGCATACACTGTGTGTTACATTACAATTCATGTGTATCTTGTTTATTGCTTGCATACACTGTGTGTTACATACCATTCATGTGTATCTTGTTTACTGCTTGCATACACTGTGTGTTACATACCATTCATGTGTATCTTGTTTACTGCTTGCATACACTGTGTGTTACAAAGACCCTGCATGATTTGGTCTTACTATTCAAGTCCCGATGAGGTCATTGGATTTTTTTCAATTGGCCTAATCCTTCCAGCCGCCCTATGGCATTGGGACTGACTCAGCCTCTAACAGAAATGAGTAAAAAAAGTAAAGTAAAAGTATCCCTGTAACAGGCCGTGAAGGCCCATAGGGTTGTGAGACGTTGAGGGTTCCACATTATCTAGACAATCGGCTCAAAGATGACGGTAAAGTTGTCAGCCTTACGCGCTGGCCGAGCTCTACTACCCAGGAAAATTATTTAATTAATTCCTGGTACTCATTCCTGTTAGAGGCTGAGTTTACCCCAGGGCCATAGTGCAGCCAGAAGGATTAGGTCAACTGAAAAAATCCAACGACCTCATTGGGACTTGAACCCGTGACCTTCCAGCTTGTAGCATAGTACCTCAACCAACTACGCTATCGTGTGCCCCCAAAAGAAATGTGTACCAGGACTTAATTAAATAATTTTCCTGGGGAGAAAAGTGCAGCCGGCACATAAGGCTGACAACCTTACCGCCATCTTTGAGCCGATGGTCTAGATAATGTGGGACCCTCAACCAACATCTCACAACCCTATGGGCCTTCATGGCCTGTTACAGGGATAGCTTTACTTACTCTTTTGTACCACCAACAGGGGGTATAGCTAATAATGTATTTAAGTATCTTGTTGCATTAATAGGACATTTTGTACACATGACATGCGGCTATAAAATGACAGGCCTGCATGCACTGTACCAGGGAACTTGTAGGAGTAGGAAGACGGTGACAGGCAATTGACCTTGAACCTTCTCCAATCCAGAGACTGGACTAGTCTCCCTATGCCAATTGATTTGCCTCTGAGCTTTGTTTGAGTGCGACCATGTTGAGTTGATCTGCCAGATTCACGACTAGGATGAAAATCGAGCAGTGCAGTGATCTAAAATTTCTTGTAAAACTGAAAAAAAAAAACTCCAGCAGAAGGTTTCCTACTCTTAAAGGTGTACAGTGATAATGTTATGCCATGCAGACAAGTCTCTGAATGGCACAAATGGTCCATGGAATTTTTGGATGAAGCGGAAGACAACAAACTTCAGGGACGCCTTTCAACATAAAAAACCGATGACAATGTTGAGAAAATATATACTACATGCATGCATACTGTTCCAGTAATGTATTTTACACTGATTTCTCTATGATTTCAATTCATGTTCATAATCCTACCTGACATGAGATGCAAGGTTTGGCATCCTGTGTGAATGGCTTTGAAGACGGAAAATAGCTTCTCAAAATGTCCCACACCTGATGAGGAACCAGACGTCGCCGACTTTCTTCTACACATAAATGTCCTATTTAACAGTAAACATAAAATTAATTGTAAATAATAAAAAGAGATCAACTTCAATTTAATACCAACAAAGCTAAAATTATGGCACTTAGGAACAAAATATCAATCAGATATTTTATTAATTCATGGAACCTGATTTGTCATTACCATGTTCAAAACAGCCTGCCTTCAGTCCCTATCCTGAGCAATATGCTTCACTCTGTGCCTGGACATCCCCTTTTTTAAGATCTATTTTATATTATTATATTGCAGAAGGGCCCATACCTGAAGGACAACTGATGACAGAATAATTTAGTAATGTCAGCTGAAATGTATGTTGAGAAATATAGAATATTATACAGTTCTTAAATGAAACGAAGAAATGCAGTCAGAATTACAAGTCAGGGATAAGAGATTAAATAAAACTTCATATATGGAATGCAATCACAAACACGATTTTTCAAATTCTGTATTTCAGCATCCTGTTGCAAAACTCTAATTAAAACGTCTATGTATCCACAACCCATCAATAATGCAATAATTGTTTATTCACCATTTAACACTTAATACAACATGTTTCGGCGATAGACGGCCATCTTCAGGTGTCTTAATGTATCCTAACTGTTACACTGCTCTAATGTGTGCTGAAACCACATGCTGCAGTCCACTTAAAAATAACATAAAATAATTAATTGAAATCCATTAAAATTTTCTAGACAAGTATATGATGCCGCTTATGAGCTGGAATATGATTTTACAAAAATAATGAAAAACTAATAGAAAATTCTAATGAATTTTAATCAATTATTTTTATGTTATTTTTAAGTGGACTGCAGCACGAAGTTTTAGCACACATCAGAGCTGTGTAGCAGTTCGATACATTAAGACACCTGAAGATGGACATCTATGGCCAAAACATGTGTNGATTAGGTTCATCAGTGATCCCAAGGCGTAGAATAACCGCCAGTAGGGTGACAGGAGGTAGAACCAACGATGACTGCAGGTTCATTATCCAGTGTAATACAACCGACAAACGTCGGCACAGTGTGTGTATAGTGTATATAACGACGTAGGTAAATAGAATAGGATAGGAATGTGTAAGAGTTTAATTCAACCCAACATTTCCTTAAGTGTTACCCTCTTCCTTGACGACTCCAGGACCTCCCAACGCTCCGGCGAATTACGAGTTAAGCCAGGACAGGGACGCAAGCTATGATAAGTTTACGAGATTTCTTGAAATAACAAGATGGTGGCAGCATACTAAACGGGGTGACAGAGCGGGATATTTCCACGCCCTCTGTCATCACGGCAGAAGAAAGGTGTAGCGGCGGCTTAAGAGAGGTACAGCGGCGGAAGCGGTGGAGGTACCTCCACCCCCCCTTCACGCCATAACACTGCTCCTTCATCATGACAATGCACCTGCCCATACATCCCTAAAAACAACAGTTTGTGACTAACAACATGGTTATCATTCCCCATCCTCCTTACTCGCCGGACTTAGCCGCCGGTGATTTTGCTTTGTTTCCCAAATTGAAAATGAAACTGAAGGGATGACATTTAGAAACAGTGTCTGACATCCAAAGGGAATCACAAGCGGTACTCGACAGAATTAAGGAAAATGACTTCCACAGAGTCTTGAAGCATGGAAAAAATTATTGGATCACTGTATACATTCTCAAGGAGACTATTTTGAAGGAGATGGCAACCAAATTTGAATAAGTTAAGCCAGCATTTCTTTTTTCACCTAGTCTGGGAACTTTCCAATACACCTTGTACATGATGACAGACTTAAATCAGTGACCATCATAATCATCTTCTGTCATCCTCAAGTGTTTCTGTTTGTTTCATGGTTTACAGAAATTTGCCTCATGCAAAGACTATAAGAGAGGATGACTATGAATGGTGAAATAGAAAGGATGTGGTAGTTGCTACAGCCATTTTTAAGGCAGTAGTCCAGCTTTTATCTGCAAGAATTGAAGACAACCATGAAAGTTCTCATTATATTTCAGCATCCTGTTGCATTGAGGTATTATTCAATTATATGTACACCGTCAATAATGCAACAATGATATTTAAAATAAATAAAATAAAAGACACCTAAAACATGTTCTTCACTAAAAGTGTAGTTTTTATACTTTAAAATGTTATTAAGACACTACTATTAAATACTTTAGAATGTCTTTAATTTATACCATATGTTATAATTTGCAACATGTTCCGGCCGCACATGGGCCATCATCAGGAAAACTTTTGATTGGTGAGATCAATGTACTGTTCGCTTGTCTTTCATGCTCTCCGGCACATCACTGTTTATTTGTTGTTGTGGTACCGCCTCTGTGGTCTAGTGGTTAGGGTTCCTGACTACAGATCCAGAGGTCTGGGTTCGATTCCCGGTGCTACCAGATTTCTTCTGAGAAGTAGTGGGTCCGGATCGGGGTCCACTCAGCCTCGTGATGATAACTGAGGAGCTATTTAAAGGAAAATAGCGGCTCCGGTCTAGAAAACCGAAATTAGCAGCCATGGGATTTCGTTGCGCTGACCAACACAGCACCTTCTATCTGCAAAAGTTGGCACTAAACTTCAGCAACAAACAGCAGTCGTTCGGTCGGTATAGTTCACTTGCAGATTAAAATCACGGAGAGTCACACATCTAGAACTCCATCATTATATTCTTTTTGCAGCTATCACAGTTTTGTATGTTGTTTTCTCTTGTATGTTTGTCTTCAGTGAAGAACATGTTTTGGGTGTCTTTTATTTTATTTATTTTAAATATCGCTGTGGACTTATTGACAGTGTAAATATAATTGAATGAAAGTTCTCAGTCTGGAAACTAATCTCCAGACTAATATTTCAACCCAGTACTTCCCAAGTACAAAATAGGAATGGTAACCACTATACACACGTTGCCTAACTTAAGTGATATCTGCATTCCCATGAGAGATCATATAAAATGAAATCAGGCATAACTCTGAATGTCCAGTACTCCTTTCATTTTTCTGCCATTAATTTCCAACAAAAAAATATGTAATTCAATTAATGTTAATACTGTTCATTTTAGCTGCTTAAAAAACCACTTCTTCTCTATTTCAGACAGATAATCTCATTACTTCATAGTCTTTTCTACATAAATTAAATTAAAATACGAGTATACTGATATTAGAACATGTTAATGTGAAACTTTTGTAAATCAGGGATATCCTTAATGTAACACTCAATGTCTTCAAGGGTGGTACAGGGATAATTAGTAACTTAAAATTTAACATACCATGTGTACAAATGATATCTTCATTAAAACCCTCCTCAACTTCCTCCTGCTCGTCAGAATCCTTGCATAATAAATTATCATCTTGTTTCTGAGTTTCCATCTGCTGCCCATTATGCAAGGTTTCATCATCCATAGTCACATCACCACTCAACACATCTGAATCTGTTTTCACTTCAGACTCCTCTGTATTCTCTTGAACCATCCCCTCACTTTCACATGTAACATCTTGAGGTTGTTTGTTTGATTTCTGTGTAAACTTTTCACACATTGCAACTTCTTCTGTGCTGTAAATGATGTCATCACCAAACCCTGGAGTTCTGATTCGTATGTATGACGGCTTCGGTTCTAATACTTCAACCACATTTTCAGTGCATATCTGTGAAACATTATCCCCAGAAATGTTCTTATCACTACTTGTAAAAGGATTTTTTGATATAGCTACTTCCTGCCTTGGAATACTGGTCCCTTCCTTTGTGATTTCTGAAAGCTCAATTTTATAGTCATGCATGTGACTAGCCGATATTTCATCACTTGATGTTATTGCACTATTGTTACACACAGCTAACTGCAAAGATTTCACGTTTTGTGATTCCTCACAGTCTAAAGGGACACTAGAAGACACTTCCAGTTCTATATTCTCAGCTTCACTGTTTGAATTGTTTTTATCGGACACAAAAGTTTCTCTCAAACCAGGCGACAATATCTTCATATTCCTTCCATTATCACATGAAGAAATCTGTGAATTATCTGTGGAAATGTTACATGATAAAACAGGCAAAGATTTTGAAGTATGAGTTTCAAGAGGATCAAGAGAAATTTTTTCATTATCCAGCTTGGAAGTAATTTTCGAACTCCACTGTGTGGCCATTCCAACAGTACTTTCACAGTCTTCTTTTTTTAACAAAATGCTAGAAGATTCACACTCAATTCTGTCATCTGAGTATCCTTTGCACTTTACAGGTATCTTTTGGGCATTTTGCTGTAATGTCTTTTCTTCGTCGGACATATTTTCATCACAAGTATCAGCTAAATTGTCACAGTTCATTTTGTTATCATAATCACTGCTATAAAGGTCAGCGATCTCCATGCAGTTCAAGGAAGAACTACTGGCTTCTTCTGAATAACCTTTGCCTTTTACTCCTTCTATCTCTTCTAGGACCAATTTCCGCCAACATCTAAGAGAATTTTTCCCAACCCAAAATGCAGGCTCCAAACTGAAAAAGAAATATACAGATATTACATACCTAGAGAAAAAATTTGAAGAATTTAACATAGGTGTGTAAGAGAAGAGATCTTGGCACTTATGATATTTCTTGCTAACTGATAAACATTTACAGTGAGACTTTCACAGCTTTACAGGCCAGGCCACAGCTCAAGCGTTTAGTCGCTGGCTTCCCACCGTGGTGATCCGGGTTTGATCCCAGGTCTAGTCAAGTGGGATTTGTGGTGGACAAAGTGGTGCTGGGGCAGGTTTTCTCTTAGTACTTCAGTTTCCCCTGACAATCTTCATTCCACCAAATTCTCCATCATAATCACCCAGGGCAGGCTGCAATAGGCCAATCAGTGGCCACCATACCGAGTGGACCCAGTGGGGCTCCACCCCCCACTAAGTGAATTTAATTTTAATTTTTTTTTTCATAGTTTTACAGTTGCAATAAACTAACTCCACAGTGACTTTCTTTAGCAACTGACACTTACTTGTTGGGTCAAGAAGTTTCTACTTTCAAAGAACCAAAAGGTTCAAGAATACATTCNGCAGGCTGCAATAGGCCAATCAGTGGCCACCATACCGAGTGGACCCAGTGGGGCACATTCAGCAAAACTGTGATTTTAAAACAACCCATAATGTCTATACCATATGAGTAAATCAATGAAAGGATTATCTGTTGAAAAAGTAGATAGAGAAAGGAACTGCCATATTTTCCAATTGAATTTTCAAGGGCATTCCACTCAAAATGATCACATTTTGTCAATAATATTTCCAATCGTTTCTGATTCCTGGGCTGGCAAAATAGCAGTTAGTTCTCTAAGAAACAGTGCCCACCTCCCCCACATTATAAACTACAACTCATTAATAACAGCATGTCCCAACATTTGTATTCTCAATATAGAAATTAAAACCTTACTGTGACACTAATATCAAAGATATTATTATCAACATTGAATATCAGGAATTAAAATTTATAACATGTTAAATAATTTTAAGTTGAAGATTACCGTCTACCGGAATGTGACGTCATGTAGTCCAGTGGAAGACTAACATGAGATGGAGATGGAGCATGTTCCTACAAAATGTTGACAATGATAGGGTGGACTACATGGTGTCATACCAAGGGGATACTGATCTTCATAATCACGACTGTGAGAACTTCAAATCTCAGATAATTTTAAGGGGATACTGATCTTCATAATCACGACTGTGAGAACTTCAAATCTCAGATAATTTTAAGGGGATACTGATCTTCATAATCACGACTGTGAGAACTTCAAATCTCAGATAATTTTAAGTTACCAATCATAACTAACTTTCATGGAAATGAGGTTATTAGCATGCCTCCATCTCTCCATTTGTGAGAGGTAGAGCAGCTGCCCCCAAAACTTCATATTTCTTTTGTTTTTTGCGGGTTATTTTACAACACTCTCATTCCCAGAATATACATATATGGCGCCAAATGGTAAGATAACCAATAAATGATGAGTTGCAAAAGATGTGGAAGGAAGCCGTTACAGCCCATCGATGTACTATTGCCTGGCATGACTGGAGAAACTATAAAAAACTTCAGTCAAGATACCTAGAGATTCGACCAAGATTTGAACTGAGTACCTCCTAAATATGACTTTAGAGTATTACCACTACATCAACCAGTGAGCCAGGGTAGCACAGTTGGTACAGCGTCTGTCTATGGGCTGGATGACTGAGGGGTTGGAGTTCAAGTCCTGGTACAGTAAGAATTTCCTTCTCCATATTGTCCAGGTCGGCTCTGGGGCACACCACACCATAGATTCGTAACACAGGAACTATAAAAGTCTCTCTAAATCACACACTCCCAATATCACTGTGCTACAGGACACAGAAAGTCTTCAAATCACAAGTTAAATCTTCTCAGGGTGACTTCTTTACTCTTCTGTACTCCTCAAGCTTACTGCTTGCTTGCTGTACTCCTCCAGCTTACTGCTATATTCCAGCTGCTTACTGCTGCCCTCTGGCCTCTTGCTACTAGTTTAGAAATTCTGCTTAGTTATATAGATGTGACATGGACACGGACCTACAGAAAACATCACATGATCGCTATCCAGCCAGTACGTTGGTGCTTTGGCTGAACCTACAGGAAGCACATATCATGCGACTGCTACCTATTGTTGTGTGACGTCACCGCAAACACAAAGAAAACACATCATCCCCTATTGTTGCACGTGCATATTTTGGGCATGGCCTAGAGATGACGTCCTTCTACTGTTGTGCTGGAACATGTTTACGGAGCTGTGGCCTGGCAATGGGGTTTCATGTTACTTTAAGTTTCATCTGGGAAATTTAACACTTCCCTTGCCAATATCTTGGCCAATATAAAATTAAGAGCTCACAAGGCATGTATATGTACATCTGTAATCTAATCTAATCTAACCCAACATAACCTTACCTAAGCTAGTCTTGACTTTTCAACAGATATGTATGTACAATCAACAACATGGAAAGAGTTAAGTGTTAAATTGTATGCTTTTTAAATTACTAGATTCCTTTTATAAATGAAGGCAAAACAAATTACCTGTCAACTTTTGCTTTAAGCAAAGCTGTTATTCTTTTGTTATCTTCTGCAGTTTTATTCTTTAATCGTATAACATTACATCTGTGCTTTACACATGGAAGACACAAAGAGACATCACCCAGCAATCGAGGTCCACCTCCAAACTTTGAATAGATTATATCTGCCTAAAATGAGAAATTAAAAATTGTAAAATATTAAAAGCAGTTCTTTGAGGATATACACTGGAATCACTGTTTATAGTTACCTTACCTTATGAGTAAGATTTCTGATGTTAAACTTTGAATAATCTTATGTTGGTGTCAGAGGGTTTAGAAATTTTTGTTATTAATTATGTTTTGAGGAACGTGAGCTGTTTTAATTGGGGGGAGGGGCAAAAGATTTTATTGCCTGCAGGAGCATTTAGGATTGTGCCAGCCCTGGCTTAATGTAAGAAAGTGACTCATAACCTTCTAGGTCTCCTACAAACAGAATATTTTAAATGAATGGGAAATCATACATCATTAGGAAACATGTATGCACGTAGAAAATAACTCACTGTGTATATCTCACACAGTTAGTCAAGCTAACATGTGAAAGATACTAAATATCTGAAAAAAATGTTAAATATCAGCCAATTTTATCTCTCTCACATTCAGTCTTCATCATCTTCATGGTAATACCTCCTTATAGGTAATTACAGCTTTAGGTTCAAAATATCAATGGATCTTCAAACAAACTCTTCATAGCTTGAGGATCCTGACCATAACACACATTTGTGTCTATTTCTGTCTATCATTTGTTATTCTGGCAGCATATGGTGCAAATGTTAGCATTTAGTGCAGCTTAGAAACATTAATCCATCAAAAACTAAAAATCTTTAAAAACACCAATATATTCTTCACCCTTGAATTAAAGACAGTCCTTCATTTTTTAACTTTGAAACAGAAATGAGTACCAGGAATTAATTAAATCATTTTCCTGGGGAGTAAAGCGCAGCCGGCACATTAGGCTGACAACCATGCCACCATCCATGAGCAGATTGTCTACATAATCTGGGACCCTCAACGTCTCAAAATGCAATGGGTCTCCACGGCCTGTTACAGGGATAGCTTTACTTTTTACTTACTATATGAAAAACCTCATGTAATTTTAGATAAATATGATACTGAACTAAGGCACTGATTTCAGACTGGAATAGGAGTTTCATTCACTAAATGTGAGTACAATACTAAAACAAGAAACACTAAATTGGGAAAATACAAGGGCTGTTCAGAAAGTAACCTCTATTTATTTTATGCAACTAAGATAGAAGCGGCCATGTTAGGTGGGTCCCTGTCACCACGGCATGGTGTGTCCTCAGGTTGCGAATGGAGGAGACATCCTCAAGTTTTGGAGGGAAGATGTGAATATTGAATAAGCAGTCGTGGACAGCCAACAAGGGGTGGCCCTCCAGCTTGGGAGTTAGGGGTTGGGCTAACAACTCCTCACCATAAAAAATCATTATGTTACGAAAATGAACACAAAGCCTTGGACCTGGACGGATTCATTGGAAGTATAATTAGAATGAACAAGTCAAGGAGGATGAGGTGGGCAGGTCATGTAGCACGAATGGGGGAGACGAGGAATGCGTATAGGATATTGGTGGGAAAGCCAGAAGGAAAGAGACTGCAGGGAAGACCAAGGCGTAGGTGAGTGGACAATATTAGAATGGATCTTAGAGAGATAGGATGGGATGGGATGGGATGGGATGGTATGGATTGGATAGATCTGGCTCAGGATAGGGACCAGTGGAGGTCTCTTGTGAACACGGTAATGAACCTTCGGGTTCCATAAAATGCTGGGAAATTCTTGAGTAGCTGCAGAATTGGCGGCCCCTCCAGAAGGGCTCAGCTCCATAAGTAAGTAAGTAATATAGAAGCTGAGGGAGAGCTCACGTATGCGAGGTAGCATCGTATGACGCATTGCCTTGCAAACCATCACATAACTGGCCACATGTCTTGTTTACCAAGAAATACTGAATACAATGTAGCAAATGTACACAAATCATTATATACTGATGATGGTCCCATGTGGCTGTAACATGTAGTAAATATATGTGAAAACATAAACTAAGCAGTGTTCTAACCAACAAGGTACGCAAGTGCTGCATTTGCAACAATGTATACATGTGACAATATGCATATCAAGTGCTCACTAATAAAACAGGATGCTCAAGTACAACATCAAGAACAAGATATCTGAAACAGACGTTGGTACCAATGGAACCATGACATTCCTACAGACCCACAACTTAGTGGCGGTGGTGAAATGTTCATTGGGTCTCGATTTATTTAACAGGGCTTTCAGTGTATTAGTATCTTCCTCTTCTTCTGACACTCCCTTTCACAAAAGTCAATAACCAAAAAGACTCCAATCTCTTCTGTCTTACCATGGCCTTTCCTTTTCAATCTCTTGCCAGCTTTTTCCCCTTCTTGAATTCTTCTAATACCTAGCAGATTCATTTTGTTCTGGGTCATCCCACGGGTCTCTTTCTTTTTCAATTAAATTCTAATGCCCTTCTCAGTACACTCATTCTATCTATACTTTTTATATGGCCAAATCATTGTAGTCATTATTCTTCTAATTCTATTAGTAAATTTTGGATTCCAATTTTTTATTTCTACAAAAATTTCATATCTAATTCCATCTATTCTTCTTTTACCTCCATACTTATAAGTAATAAACCTAAGACAGGGTTTCAAGAATCAGAACGATGATTCTCATAAAATTTAATAAATTTGTCCCAACTGCACAAGTTGCACAACATTAAATGAAATGGGATGATAAGAGATGGTAAATACAACTGACTGGAGAAATCCAAAATATGTCAAGTCATGATACCAAGTAGCCCAGCTAAGATTAAGACTGGGGACTAATAAATACATGTCTGCAGACAACACCATCTTCCTGGTTGGTTTCAAAAGAGTAAATTTAAGATTTGCCTCTGTAAGTTTGTATACAAACTTTCATAAATTCATTCTTTGCAATACTATCCCCCTATTGGTCTTGATGGTTGTTTAATGCAAATAAATATCTAATGGAGATAAACCAAGAGTTGTCTGCATGGTATTAAATTACTTCCTTAGATTTAATTTACTCGTAAATATACTTTACACATAATAAGTTTGAAATAAAATGTACAGAAGTTACACCTTTTCTCCGGTTCTCTGTATAGTAATACTCTGTTGCTGTGACTAATAAGATTAATTTCACCATCATGTAAATTTGGATTATTTTGGAAAATAATTAAACTTATGTCACAACTTGAACTGCAATGCCACATTTCACTGAACTCTATAAACTTCAAGATCACTTACAGCAACAGAACTGATGCATTTTGTTTGAGGTAAGAAATCAGGATTTAACTTCCCATGTGGACAAACAACAGCACTATTGTCCACTGGTATGACTTCACTGTTCAACCATCTCACCAACCAGTCTGAAGTAATAAACTCATAAGAGGCATCTTCTGTATCAAATAGCATGCTATAAAGGATCACCATCTCTTGCTGATGAGCCTTGCCAATCTCAGCAGTCACAGCCTAGAAAATCAGATGGTATTTGAAATTAAAAGGCACAGCATTAATTAAAGTAGCAACAAGAATAAATTAACTAATAAGATGAAAGAGTGTGCTACATAATAAATGAACAGAATAAGCATGTGAATTTAAGTATTCAGGAAACCTAGAAAGTCAACATTCTGAAAGAGATTCGGAACATATGGGAACACATGACATGAACAAATATCACTGCAGCAATTTCTTCCTCTGTCAGAAACTGAAATCCAGGGTCTCCTTTATCCAGCTCAAGGCAACTTTGGATATTTTCTTGCATGGTGTCAATCGCTCCAGCTGCCCTCAACACATTGTGAGAGTCCTTTTGCTCCTAAATCCCATGTGCCTTTTAGAGTATTGTAACATGTTTGCAATCCAGAGGAGTCACTTCTATGGAAACGCTAGAATAGACCGTTGCATAGGAAACAACAATCGCTCTATTGTAGTTCTAACATCGAATCTCCACGGTTACGACGAATACGCGAAGCGTTCCCACAGAGACAACGCAATAACAATGGGTCATAGCGTACGAATTGCGGAACCACCAAAGCAACGTTTCCACTGCTATAACAGAGGGTTCATTTGAATAGCAACGGCCGAGGGTATAAATAGTCCAGCTTCGAAGAGAAGCAGTCAGTCTTGGAACATCCGCCACAGAAGTCAGTCTTTATCCAGCCGTCTAAGAAGTGAGTCCTGGAATATCCGCCGCAGAAGAGAGTTGAAGCGTTACAAGTTGTACTCGTGGTTGTAGAAGGAAGGTGTCCAATAAAGGGTTCTACGGAATTTGAGACCTACGTGAATTTATTTGTGGCGTGACACGCAAAACACGCTACAGTATGTACTCAACTGTGAACAGAATTTTTAATTTTTCATATTTTGATCTGGATTATCCAGCATCTGGGTTAACTATAACCAGGTTAGCGAAAGTTTGATGTACTGTGGTCTTCTTGGTTATGACATGTTGCAGTATGGTATGTGGATACCAGAAGAGGAAGAGACTTGGGTCTGAAAAAGAAGGGAATGTTGTATGTTACACAGCAACACTAGCAACTACCAACCACTCTACAATATGCCATAACCCAGAAAACTAACAAACGAATTAAGTGAAATAATGTACACACACTTGCATAAAATAATGTAGAGGAAAACACGTGTGAAAATACCTACATAGAATTCGTTACAGCAAACTTCAGACAGAATGTCTGAAGGGAAGAGACTATTTTGGAGGGCTGGGTATTGGCAGGGAATATTAAAATGAATCTTAAAGAAATTAGGGTGTGAACAGGTGAACTGAATTAAACTAGGTCAGGATAAGATCAAGTGGTAGACTTCTGTTACCATGGTAATGAACCTATGGATTCAAAAAGGCAGGAATTTCTCTACTAGTCAAACAATCACCAGCTTCTCTAGAACAACTCTGATCGATGGGGTTAGTTACTCAGTTACTGATAGAATATATATTGGGACGTGGACATGGGATGAGACAAAATAAGGACAAAAGCAACAGAAATGATAACATTAAGATAATTAACTATAAATGAAAGATTAAACCAATACTAATATGACTAATAGAGTTAAAGCAATTACTAAAATATGGGAAGAAAACACACGTAAATAAAATGTATAATAATAACTGGTCAAGATATCATAAAATTACAAGGGTCATACTGAAAGTCATGAGCAACAATTTTTTGTGAAGTAACATGCTCTATTATTGATAAACCACATACACCACCTCAATCTACAGACTTTTCTTTATTTTTCCACATAATCGCCACTTCTTTGTACACATTTCTCCCAGCGTTCTGGGAGTTTGAAAATTCCTCTTCTGTAAAATTCCATTCCAGCCATCCGAAGACACTGACACACTGCTTTCTGAATTGCCTCCCTCATCTCAAAACGTTGTCCACGCAGCTGATCCTTCACAAATCCGAAAAGATGGTAGTTGGAGGGTGCCAGATCAGGGCTATAGGAGGGCTCTGGAAGAACCTCCCACCCCATCTTTGCAATTGCTTCCAATGTGAGGCCAATGGCATGGGGGCAAGCGTCGTCGTGCAGGATGATGATGTTTCGTCCTGGACGTTTATCGCGCAATGCACGACGGAGCTTGTGCAGTGTCTGGGCGTAACAAGCAACACTGATGGTTTGCCCAGGTTCCAGGAATTCAGCCAGAATAAACCCCTCTGCATTCCAGAAGACTGTGCCCATCACCTTCGCAGCTGATGGCACCGTCTTTGCCTTCTTTTTTGATGGAGAATGCAAATGGTGCCATTCCATACTCTGCCATTTCGTTTCAGGCTCGAAATGGTGAAACCAGCTTTCGTCACTGTCACAATACAGAGCAAAAAATCATCGCCTTCGTGTCGATATCTCTGCAGCAGTTCTGAGGTGATGGCTTTTCACTGACATTTGAGGTCTTTGGTCAATAACCACGTGACCCAACGAGCATAAACTTTCCTATAGCCCAAGCTTTCAATCATCTCCTGTACTGCACTGTGCCCTATTCCAAGTTTTTGGGCTATTGTGTCCACAGTCATGTGCCTGTCATCTTGAATGATCTCATCCACTCTTTCCTTGTTGTGTTCAGTTGAGGCTGTTCGAGGACAACCGCTCCGAGGCTCATCTTCGACGCTGGTGTTCCCATCTTTAAAATGTTTCACCCATCTTCGAACACTGCTCGCACCCATGCACACCCTTCCATAAGCACGCTGAAGTCTCTGGTGAATTTCTGCAGAATTTCACAAGAAATTCGATGACAGCACACTGGCGAAACGACATATCATTGTTGGCCATTTTGTTAGGAGTGATACAGGTCACATGATGCAAGCTATTGATGTCACAAGACACTCAAGGTTAACACAACAGCTGGTTCCACCTACCACCATACTCTCTTTCGTCTGCTGTTACCAGGCTGCATGCAAAAAAAAGTTGCTCATGACTTTTGGTAAGACTTCACCCTCTAGGTATATATATGTATACCTAGAGGGTGAAGTGAAACAGGAAAGTAAAGCAAATGCTCAAAAGAGGGTTTCTGAGACTCGTACAGATATTACAATGCTACTTAATACAGTTTCTGAACAAAGGAAGAGAAAAAATTACTGAGACATAAAAATGGAACAATCATACATAAGATGTATATTTTCACTTCTAATGCTTCCAGTTGTGGTCTTCTCCATCATTCAGACCTGCATGCATGGCAAAGTTTAAAGAATGCACTGAAAGTACAGGTGCCCACAGGGCAAGATTCAATTTACTTCCAGTGACATGGCTATGCTGGCAGCCAGGATATGGAGCACATGGCTCAAAATAAGTTCAATCAATGGCAAAGGGACTGGTATTCCCAATGGAACAGGGAGAACATATGAAGAAATTCAAACTGGGTTCTTCCAGTCTTGAATCTGAGACTTTCAGCATGACAGTCTAGCATCCTCTAGAAAAGTGTTTCTCAACTGCCGGCCCACAGTCCAGTACTGGGCCCTGGCATGAATTATACCGGGACCTCATCTTATAGACAAAAGAACTTACCAGGCCGCAGTCTGACAAAGGTTGAGAACCACTGCTCTAGACCATCATTGAAAAACCACTGGTATGCATGCCAAAAATGGAACACTTGAAACATTTCCAGGTAAAGAATCTTACATCAAAGAAATTAATAAGAAACAGAAACTAAATTACTAATATTGTGCATATGTGGGAATGTGTGGAAGAGAATAAAATGTGGGTTCAGGTATGCAGAATTTTATCTTTCTAAGTTTTGTCATGCAAATATTTACCCATCACTGCCCTAGAGCACCTGGGACATAAAACTTCATACCAGCATAACAGCTATACAAGGCAGGGTCCAAGAAATATAATTTTAGCAGTCAGATACAGTTCTTAGGCTGTCTAGCCATGATGTGTCAATTATGGAAAACTAGAAAATCAAGTTGTTATCAATATATACACTAAAGTTTCAAATTTAAAGAACTTATGACCCTAAAGTTGTTCACTGTAGCAAAAATGAGGTTGTTAAGCAAAATATAGGTACAAATTAACACACTTCCATGTAGCAAAAACACAAAAGGAGGAATAACTGTATCTGCATTACAACACTGAAAGTGTTGATAAAATGACTAATAACTGTGAATATCTCCCCAGTTCAGTACCTTGGTTTCATTAATTTCTTTCACCCAGTCTTCAAAGTTCTGATCCTCAGTCTTCAATAAATTATTCAGTCTTTCTGGCAGAACCCATTCCATGTCTGTCTTGGCTCCTGATTCATTATTCTTTTTTTCAGTACTGTTCTGTTCCTTTTCTTGTTTGGCTTCAGTATACACCAACATGTATGCGTTATTTGATACCAGGAAACCCTTCGAAACGCGCTTTGGCTTATTCTTCGTGTTTCCATCTGGAATTATAACAAGATATCATTGGTTTGGACTGCCAAAGGATTAAGTATGTGTTCAATGTTTGCTCCTCATCTAAAAATTGTCCCTCTGCTAGATGTGCAGCAGCTGCTAATGCTGTTTGCAGGGATGTTGACGTATTCAGAGCCACGAATGTTCTCCCCAAACAACTTTTAAATATAGTATAATTGTTAGTATTATTAATATTTGCATGTACAATAAACAATAATAAACTGAATTATTATTATTATCCTCTCTGAAGATCTATACTTTTCATTTCTTAATTAAATATTNCGAATTTCAGTTCAGATCACTAGTTATGCTTTCACTTTCACTTGTTATTCAGTCACTTCTACTTACGCTCATCACTGCGTCAAGTTCACTTTAACTAGTTTAATTATATTATTGGTTAAAAGTTCATGAATTAAAGTTCAATTTTATTATATTGATTGCACTTATCACTTTTTGGAGGTCTCACTGTTCTTCTGTGTCCTCTGATGTTGCTGGATCTGTTACGGTCCTTGTTGTGACGGTAACCATCACGACAAAGTTCATAAAATTGAACTTTAATTCATGAACTTTTAACCAATAATATAATTAAACTAGTTAAAGTGAACTTGACGCAGTGATGAGCGTAAGTAGAAGTGACTGAATAACAAGTGAAAGTGAAAGCATAACTAGTGATCTGAACTGAAATTCGATTCACAAATTTTAAATTTTAAATTTTAGATTTTAACTTTTGACATTTAGAATAATATTTTAACTTGCGTTTTGTGAGAGGAGCTTGATATATTATTGAGCGTGGGCCTGAATAAGATACAGGATCGAATAAGTGAGAAGACAAATGTGATTGCGTGTAATTATACAACCGTGTTTGTACACCTGAGGATGACCTCTTGAGGTCGAAACAAGTAGTGTAATAATAATAAAAATATGTTGTGTGGTCAGTAAAATTGATTCTAATATTGATTAAATACACAACAGGATGCAAGAAACAATTAAAAATATTTATATGTTTCATTTCTCAGTTCTTAATAACGCTTAGATTTATGTTAATGAAATTATTATTATTATTGCTATTATTATCATTTGTTTGTTTGTCTACTTTTCTGCTTATTGTGTTTTGCCCAGTGCTTGCCTGTAATTTGTCTTTGACTTTATATTGTGTTTGTCTATAATGTAATTACTTTTATCTACACTGTGCTCTGTCTGTAATTGGCCTTGTGGCTGTTGACTCGGCACATAAATAATAAAGAATTGAATTAACAAATTCCATTAACTAGAAAAATTTCACATTAACCAAAAACCAAAAGAGATCTTAAAAAATTCAAATTATGCTAATACACAATTGGGGCTTTAATTACCAACTTCAATCTTATTTACACAAAATTCAGAAGCATTCACTGTCATGTACCGTACAAAATAGGGGCAAGCAAAATGTGACCCAAGGAAACAATCTAGCCAGCAGAAATGTCCAGAAACTACTAATAATACAAACATCTATAAAAGACCTGAGGATCTCATGGTGATAATCATAAAGATTCCTGTCTTCTTAGATATGATGTGTAGTCTGATAGATCTTTACATGTTTTTGCGGAATGTGGTGCCTCCACCTTCTGCCCTGAATCTGGAGGCAGAACATTCCTCCAAAACATCAGTAAACATCTACCAGACTAAACATCATTGCACCCAGAAGAAGATAGTAATCCTTAACCATCCAATACACTGTCACCTCAACCCTCCACATATTTTTACTTTCTCATAATCACTACAGAGAAAGCAGTGCAATAAGAAATTTGAAATCTTAACAGAAAGTTTCTTGGTTCCTGGGTTCCTGAAATGACCTTAACAACCATTTGGAAGCAAGTGGATAATATTAATGAAAGCTGTAAAAGTGGTATGCAGGGGACAGCTACTGAAAACCACACAAATCAGAGTGTTTATTATGGAGAAATTGGAAAAGATGCTGGCTCAGTGGGTGCAGCATAAATACCAATGTGTCATTCCTCTATCCACAACTACCGTATTTACGCATGTATAGGCTGCACATTTTTTGCCAAAAATTCAAGAGGAAAACTGGGGTGTGGCTCATATTCAAAATATTCGAAATCACGCTTCATTTAAAAAAAATTATATTCGGAATATTTCGGAATAATTTCTACTCCTGAAATAATATTCCAAGAAAATTATTTTTTCTATAATTTGTCTGAAAATTGTGCTGCGGCCTATACACGCACGCGGCCTATACATGCATAAATACGGTATTTAGGACAAGGCAAAGAGCTTGTTTGACAATCTGAATGCTACTGACCCAGGTTTCAAAGTTACATCATTTTTTCCAACTGCTGGGCGGTTCAAACATCTTAAAAGATGCTTGGATTATACAATGTACAGTTAACAGATGAGGCTGTAGCAACTGATTCATTTATTGCTAAGAAATTTCCAGCTCTCCTCCAACCAACAACTGAAGAGTACAAGTACATATGTAATTGCCCCAGCAAGCGTAAAATCTGAATGTGACTGGAAAGTTTCGGAAGTGGACGTCAAGTAGAACGTTCATATGAGTAAAGGTGAAGGCAGCCTAATCCTTCAAGGTTTTCAGGGCTCCCTGCATACTGCTGTTAGGTGGAAACCACTGTGATCTGCTTGGAGATTCTTACAATATTTTGAACATGTGGAGGAATTACTTCTCTCAGTTATTGATGTACAGAGGGTCAGTGATGTTAGATAGATAGAAATTAGAGGAGACAAAAAGTATGCACACTTAACTTTTTATTAAATAGTACAACTACAATGAGTATGTATAATAGCAACAGCTCTTTCAGCAAACTTTGTCAAGCATTCCACAAGCTTTTGCATGCCCTCAGAAAAAATGCTTTTGGTTAAATGACAAAGCAACACATTCGCTATCACAAATTTTGTGCGAGATGGGTTCCAAGAACACTCATGATGTGCACAAAACACAGAGAATGGCTTTGGCTTCGACATTTTTGGAGCAATACCACAAAAATGGCAATGAATTTCTCAGTCACATTATATGAGTAACAAATGATGAAACTTGGGTTTCATTTGTGAATGTTGAAACCAAACAGATGTCAAAGCAGTGGATGCAGACGCATTCACCAAACAAGCCAAAGAAGTTTAAACAAACATTGTCTGCTAGAAAGCTGATGGCAACTGTTTTCTGTGATAGGAAAGGAGTGCTGAAGATGGAATTCACGCAACAAGGGACCACAATAACATCAAAAGTGTATTGCAAAACACTAAAAGAACTGCACAGGGCCATTAGGAACAAAAGGCATGGAATGCTGACATCCAGTGTAGTGCTCCTCCATGACAATGGGTGTCTGCATACAGCCCCTCATGCTTAATCTCGGTTTTCTAGACCGGAGCCGCTATTTCCTTGGAACAGCTCCTAAATTATCCTCATGAGGCTGAGTGGACCCCGTTCCAGATCCACTACTTCTCAGAAAATCTAGTAGCGCTGGGAATCGAACCCAGGATTTCTGGATCTGTAGGCAGGAACTCTGACCACTAGATCACAGAGGCAGTCTCTGATTTAAAACACCCGTTCCCTCAAAGTCAGAGACCTCATTTTACAGTCATATAAAACAACTTATTGTAGGAAAATAAATGCAACTGAGAGGCCCTATGACTTACCATCAACATCTTCTTCTGTTCCCAATTTCAATTTCTTCCCTTCCATTTTCTCTACAGTTTCATCATTGAATTTATACCAGGTACTTGTAGTGCTATCACAGATGTGTGCTAAAATGCAAACACTACAATTAACTTAAAGCACCAGTTACTCTAACACAGCTTTCTCTTTAAAATGTCTTTGCTGCAGTAAGCATTAGAAAATGGGGTATCACATATGACAGAAGAGGGTAGAAGAGCTGCATTCACCACATATGCCTTCATTACATTGCCTGAACTTAACCAGCAGGCATCAAACCATGATCAATTGGCAACATGTGAAAAGTTCAAGAAAAATAGTGCAGCAGGGTAGACGAAGACACGGTGGTTTCTACATCACAACACAAAACTTTTTAATCTGCTGTAATACGCAATATTTTTCTTACAGGTTCAATAAAAAAAAACAATTTACAGGCAACATTACTTCTCTTAACTGTTTCTTTCAAATTGTTTAATGATACTGTTTGAACATCAAAGGCTTTTAGTCCATAACAGAAAAAGGGAGATGGAAATAAAAGGTAAGTAGGCACAGGTTTGGAAGATGGTAAACTATGGCCTATTTCAAAACACTGTCCTGACATTTGTCTAAGGACACAAAAAAAAAAATCCGTGGTTTTAGTCTGCAAGCGAACTATACCAACCGAGCGACGGCTGCTTGTCAGCAAAGTTAGTGCCAACTTTAGCACGTAGAAGGTGTCGCGTAGTCAGCGCAACAAATGTCCACAGCCATTAATCTTGGTTTTCTAGACCGGAGCTGCTATTTCCTTCAAATAGCCCCTCAATTATCCTCACAAGGCTGAGTGGACCCCGTTCCAGAACCACTACTTCTCAGAAAATTTGATAGCACCAGGAATCGAACCCAGATCTATGTATCTGTAGCCAGGAACTCTGACCACTAGACCACAGAACACTGAAGAAAACTATATACAGTGATACCTGCTTTCAGAGTTCCTTGAAAGAGCCTGGGTCTGAACACAAAACTGAGGAAAAGTTAAACGTATGAAACTTAACGCAGATTACAGATATTGGATCACTGAAATCGAACACTACATGCAGGAACGCCTTAAAATAAGGAACATTACATGGGGATTCCATCTTAAAATATCATTCTGGATGATCATTAACTTGGTTGAGATTCAAACCAGGTCCCAGACGAATGTAAGTCTACAACTAGGAGAGTGTGTGGGTAGGCAGAATAGAGAACAAACAGGTAAGTATAACTTTATATAATTATAACATATCAACAGCAGAAGTTATTTGGCATAAATTTTCAAACATACTGATGAATGAATGAATATCATTACAAATGGAGATACATGAGTGATATGGGAGTAAATACTCATGATAAACCTGCAAGGTCAATTGGTCCAATGGGGAAGAGGATATATTAACTCTTATTGTCCAGGAATAGGGATTTGGAATATTCTGGTAGTACTGGGTTGGTAATCATGTGTTAACCTGGGGGTCACCATTAGTAATCCAGGATTAGGGATTTTAAATCTCCAAGTACTACAGGATTGTGGGCCATATTTTAACTTTAGGTAACAGCTCATCGGGAGGGAACAAGAAATTCTAAATCCCCCACTCCTACAGGGCTTGTGGCAATACTTTATCTTGTGGGTAACAGTATCTACATATATATTTACCAACACTTGTTTGACTGTCTGTCCCACATTTCTCCAAAATGGTGTGTACAGAAAAACTGCTAAAGACAAAAGACCTTTCTCTTTGACAGACAAGACCATGAACATCATTACTCTGAAATTTTTAATCTTAATCTTTGCTTTTATGTGCATGGGTTTAACCACAACCCCTTTACTTCTTCCATAAGAATGGCATTTCAGATTTTTATTTAATTAATATCATATTTACAATCTACTCTCGATAATACAGAATAATAAGTAAATTTGTTCTAAGTAGATATCTTGAGTGGAGAAGTCATCCATTGATGATACTCTGACAGGCCCTGCAGAGGAAGGGAGATTAAAACCATGACCATTCCTCTACAAGGCCTGTCAGATGACAGTGGATGACTTCTCTACTCAAGACACCTACTTAAAACAAATTTACTTATGACTCCAAGAGTAGATGGTTAATATGCAAATAATTAAATAAATTAATTAAAAAAATAACTTAACTCACAATTAGTTTAAGGCCCTATTGTTTATGTGTGCAAATCTCATCCTTATTGACCTCCTGTCTACCCAGTTTCATCACTGGTACTGTGAGAATTTATCATCAGCATCACAACCCCTCCCCGTTACCATGTTTACCCAATGTCCACTAAAGCACAAGAACAAATCTCTCTGAGCATAGCCAGGCAAACTAATTAAGACACATGACCACAAACCGGAAATGTGAGGTAATCTATAGTGACAAGACCATGAAGATGAAGATGTCCGGCCAGATAAGATAAAAGTAATCAATCTACGAGTGATTAACTATGTTGGCAAAGATCATAAAAATAGAAAGCAGTCTTCTGGGATTTGGCACCGTGTATATGTGGTGTCTCTTCACTTGTGTATTTCTTATATTTTCCTTCTACCCTGAAGATGGAGGCGATACGTTCCTCCGAAATGTCGGTTAACACCACATATGCATAGTACCAAATCCCAGAACACTGCTTTCTTCATAGTCACCATCGTGAAAGCCTCAAATCTTATATCATGAAAATAAATCACACAAAAGCATTAGTTTTTGTCTATTCATAATATAATACTGAGCACTGCCAAACTGACATACCTACATAATGTCCTGAGTAGGCACTAGGGCCTCGATGAATTAACACAGCACTAAGGACATAAAGCAAGGAACCCATTGGCTTCTTCAGGTACATAGACATGTCAAGATTTTCAGGGAACTGCAAATATGAGTTCAATTTCTTCTTACTGCCTTTCTGCCTGTAACACGAAAGGGTGCGTATTAGATTCACCCTCTCTTGGGCCTCTTTATAGACATATTAAAATCCAAAATTTTACTGTTATTTAATTTATATATCTACAGTTTTATATTATTGTACTAAATGCTGCAGTCAAGTGGCTAGCACTCTTGCTTCAAATTCAGGAGGTCACAGTTTCAAATACTGGCCCTGGGACCAGCCATCCAAAACTGGTTTCATTTTGTGGGTTTCCTCAGTCATAAACAAAATTGTATTTTCCAGACTTTCAGACCAGTAAAAATCTGTCACAGAATAGTGTTCGTCCACATACTGGCAGTTGAGAAACGTTGCTACAAAGTACATTTTAAACCAATACTAATACACAGTCCAGAAACATGAACACTTAAAAAGAGAAATAAAAGACCAATCCAAACAATGGATATGAAAATTTTTTTAAGAAGTAGGGGGAAAACAAAGTGGGGGGAGAACACAAATTTAAGTTTTAGAGTAAAAGTTAAAATTCAAAATTTGTGAAGTGAGAAATTATTATGATGGTTTGGCCATGTAAACAGAATGGACAGAACATGGATGCCAAATACATTTGAATTAAAACTTAAAGAAAGGACACCAATGGGATGACAAAAGCAACATTCTTTAGTCCAGTACAAAAGGAAAAAGCTTGCAAGAAACTGAAAAGGAAAGGTTGTAGAATGAAATAAGAGAATAGAGAGTTTTGGTCATCAATTCATAAAAAACTTAAATGATATAAGATGAAGAAGGGTATTACAGTAGAAAGAAGTAGATGGAGAAGAAAAGAAGTATGAGGAATATATAAGAGAAACCCAAGAATAAGAAGAAAAAGAAGAGGAAGAGGAGAAAATGAAAAAAAAACATGAAAAAATATGAGGAGAGAAAGTTCAAGTATTAAATAAGAACAGTAGAGGCAGCAAAAAACAATGACCTATCAAATACAAAACGCATGAGCTGAAGGTTTAAAACTGAAGGCAGCGTATCAAGCTTAATGCTGCGCGTTGCATCCTGTTTTGACTTGCACACGGTGCAGTGGTAACGGTCAGCACCCTCTAGTTTCTCCTCTTGCAAGAACTCTTCCAAACAGTCAGCAAGGGCCTTGTGTCCAGCAATATTCAGCTCCAGCTCATAGAATAAAGATGGCAATGCAGACTCTGTCCCACATTGTTGACATCTACAAGATAAGCAAGATAAACACAAAACTTACAGCAGGTGATATTTATGAAATAGATGAGATTGGAAGAAATATAAATTATATTAAATTGTTGAGGTTAAGAAAAATACTGTCACATGTATTAGCGACTAAGATGCGTGGTTGGGTTGGTGAACCCGTCTATTTGATCTTCACTAGACATAACTAGAATTAATTATTACACTGTTGCTGATTTACATGATTCACAACCACTCCACACTAATCTTCTCAGTCTATTTCCACTAGCCTTTGCTATCCATTTCTAGGCAACGGATTTATAACACAGGAACTATAAGAGTCTCACTAAATTACACACTCCAAATACAACGCATATAAGGTCACAGACTGTCTTCTAACTCCCTTGGAACTTCTGAACTCAAGTGAAGTCAATTCCCATTCCTGTATTCTCTTATATTCTCTCGGCATGGACCACGCACAGAAAACACAGCCCCTCTATCACTGCATGGTGCAGACCATGTAGAAAACATGTGTCATATGTCAGACTGCAAGTTCATTGGTCTGTTACCAGCACTGGGCATGGTGCAGACAACATAGAAAACACAGCCTCATCTACTGTCACATGTTGGACCATGTTTACAGAGCTGTTGCCTGGCAATGCATTGATCAGATCCGTTACGATACATTATAATATACTGTATGCAGTTAATATACTTGCAGAAACAAGATGAATTGTAAAGAAATCTTTAATTCACTCAAATTATAAATGGAACAATCTAAACAAGTTACAACTACCTTCTATTCATTTATTTGTACTTTATTTAATGACACTGTCAGTTACCCCTACCATGTAGAGTCAAATGTCTGACAAGTGTAAGTTCGAAAGAATGTACAAGAAGTGTCAATGCCTAATTTGAGGTACAACATCAGTAATTTTGCCAAATATATCTGTTGGAATGGTACTGCAATGAAGGTGACAATTTCTTTAATTGCATTATAACTGACAGTGATAGTTGGATACACTATCATAAACCACAAAGCAAATGCAAGTCATTTAAAACCATGCTATGACATGGTCTTTAACATTTCCTTCTGAATGAACAACAAATAAGCAGTTTCTTCTTCTACCAACAGATGGTGTTTGTAGCTATATTTCCCAGATCTTTAGAAATATGTAGATATATTCTATTCATTCTTTTAAGCCAGCTGCAGAGGTCCTGGGAGTAAAAGTGAAAAAAAACACTTTAACATACCTGTACCCTCAGAAACTATTTTCTGAATTTTCAGTAGTTGAACTGTGTTTCTTACAGCAGCCTATTTCATGAGACTGTATTCACTGACCACTGTCCCTCTCACTTGACTGTATAAAATTCTGACTTTTTACAGTAAGAACTGACAATTTCATGTCCACTAGTATCACCCTACTACAATCTCACCATTTAGCACAACTGATATGTAGGTACCAGGGCAGACTTAACCAAGTTTACAGTACAACAAAATCCCCAAGTCATAAAGTAAGAGACCATTAAAATGGTGCATTACTTTTTATCACCAGACTGAGAAGTAAATGTTGAGTTCATCTGGTCATGTTGTCATGGACAATATTACACAAAACAGCACATTTTCTACATCTGTCATCATACAAAACTTTGCGACCTTACACTTAATGCCGTCAGCAGTGTCACTATGGAATTCTTGACAGCAAAGTAGTTGCTACTATGTCCAAGAACCACATTACAAAAGTACCTGAGGTAGCATCCACACATTCCTAACCTAAACACAGATGAAGACAAGCCTACCTTTCTATTTCAGCCAATTTACTGCCAATGCTAACTTGACAGGAACCTTAGTGGGTCCCAGAGCCAGCCTGATTATGGTGACAAAGAAAAAAAACGAGTCCCTGCCAGAATTCAAATCCCAGCTGTCAACAAGCAGGCAGTCAGTTTATTGGATCAGCTAATTTGAATCTGTGTCACTGACAGGAGGGAATTAAAAATTATAAATGTGGGATGGCTTGCAATAGCACGATATTCAGACAAAGTTTTAGACCTCTAAAACAACCAACTATAGTAAAACCACATTTGCTATGGAAGAAATGTCATTACTAAAATGTTCAGGCAGAGTTTTCTAGGCTGTAATACCATGTATAACTTGAAGAAGATTCTGCTGTATCACAGACATCTTCTGAGATAATATGTTATTCTGAAATGTTTCAAATATCTTCCAATTACAAATCATATCATGACCCATCAGACACTATATTGCATACTACACAGACATCATAAAAATCTAAAATCCTACATAATTTAATTGCAATTTATAATTCCGAGATTGATTTACTAAAACATCTCATTCAAAATTTTAAAATGGAAATAAATACATGTTTCATGACATTCCTGTCATGATCACATATACTCACTTTGTGACATAAGAATATTTCCCACAGAACTGTTCATTAATAATATTCTTCACAAGTGGTGAAGACTGATGGGACAGGCGTTCCTCTAGCATCGAAATAAACAGCTTTGAAAACTCCTGGAAATCATAATATTTAACCAGTTTCAACTCTCCAAATACGAATGATGAAAATTCAAACACACAACAACTGTAGCAATGCTTAAACAGAAGAGATGTATTGTTATTTGCCCAAAAATAAGACAACCTGATTATAAGATGCCCTTCTCATAGCTTAAATTTAAATAAAAACAGTGATTCTTTCATGGTAATCAAGCGGAATCAAATTTTTATTCCAGTTACTTTTTACATAGTTCTGAAATAAAAAAAGAGTTCGACTATATAAAACAAGCTCATGCTAAGAATACCCCACATTCTTGAAGAAATTCAACTGAAAGTTATTTTATTCCACACAAGCTAGCTTACCCACGAAATTTATATTAATTTATTCTTATCACGTTTAGGATAATTAATTTTTTAACATCCACAAGATTTATTCATATTGAACATTTATTCTTCTAATACCAAGCGAATATGAAGACATGTTTTACTTATACAAGTGATTATACAAACCAACCAACTTTCAAACCATTAACAACCAAGCAGACTAAAACATTAATGTGATATAAACCTTTCTTTAGTCATTCATACAACAATCAGAAACATGTCACAGGCTTCAGAAAATGCAACTGAAAGACATTTCAATAAAAATATCAGTATGTTACCTACCAATTTATTTTACTGTGCTTACAACAACTAGCTTTTGACCATTAAAATCTGCAATCATGTACAGCTTCACAGTGAATTTTAATGCATGAAACATTCCCTCACAGAAAATTCCAAGTTCACATTGCTACTGTAAGAGGGCAGTACACACACTATATCAGGTTTCTGTTACTGGAGGGCAGCATTAATACTAAAATAATCACAACATTTTTTTTTGGTCGAAGATTCTGCAGGCACACGCGCGTGTGCATGCACGCGCATACAGACACACAGATATATAATTTTATAAGCTACCTATAAAATAATTAAAATACACAGTCTAAACACTTTTCGTTCCAGTACTTATGCATTCATTGTCAGAGCTATTTTGCATTCCACACGGAAATATTGCTTATATGTAAACTCCTGATTTGCAGCCAATAAACAGAAAGGATGTAAAAGTAAAAACATATGCCTGATGGCCTTTACACATAAATCCACACGCATTCTCTTTTAATTATTATATTACAGCTGATCTAGCTGGGTAAACCTTACTTGTGCATCCTGTTGTGTTGTGGTATCAAGACCAAGAGAAATAATAAACGCTGTTGGATCTACACAGCGCCGTTTGCCAAACTGAAGGAGTGCAAACAACAGCTGCAGATGGCCAATGCTGGATTCAGGAATATAATCCTGGCCTTCATTTTCCTGAAGTGTAGGATTAGCCATCTCCTGAGGATCTTCTTCTGGAGACCATAAATATATAGCACGCCTACATACACAGAACAAAAACAAATGAGCGTCACAGCACAGAGCATTCCTCAGGAGTCAAACAACAGATTCTATTTCTATGGAACACAAAGGTCTACACAACAACATCTCTATATCTATGAAGGACTTGTCTGTGAGATGATGCTGATCCTATATTTTGTTAGAATTACTGATTCCTCCAAAATGTCTGCAACACGACCTACATCAACATGGCACCATCAGCCAAAAACACAATCAATATCATGAGAAAACAGCAACGAAAGCCTTAAATCACCACTTCTTGAGATGGACATGAATAAAGAAATTTTTTCAAAGTATGTTATTTAATGATGCTGTCAGTACCAACACTATACAGTGTCAACAATAGGATGATTAAAGAATATGGAGCAGTTGGTGGAATGAGGACAGGGGTAACCTAGGTAAGAGAAAACCTGTTCCAGTGCCAATTTGTCCACCACAAGTCCCGCATGACCCAACCTGGGGTTAGCAAGCAAATAAATAAATATAGTGACAGTCCTTTCCAAAAATTTAATTAATTATTGGTTAGGACATGTAATAGCATTATTAAAAGGCTTACAGGTTGGATTGTTGGTAGCTCTGATGGTAGTACTGTTGCCAATGGAAAACATGTACTCTTGATTGCACATACTGACTGTTCTTTGATTTTCAGCCATTTAATTCTTGGAACTAGGCCCTAGATTTTGGCAATGATGGTACACATGTGAGGGAGAAGATTCCTTAACAAACGTCTAACAATACTCAATTTTGATGGGTTTACGACTGCATATAATATTTAGCCAAATATTACACAGAGTAGTAAGCATTCTGTCCAGTGGAAAAATACGTTACCTCACAAAGGAGATGTAGGTGTTATAACCCAAAATATACTGTTTAGAAGGGAGTGAGTAGTGAGATTTTGCAATGTCAGCTTTCCTGCTGCATACGATGGAGAAGCACAGAATGTGGTTTAACAGTACCTTTATGGGCCACCAGCATATAATTAAGTAGGAAAGCAAACCTATTTATGCTAAAAGCTGCAAATAAAAGTTCCATCTGACTAGAAATTGCTCATTATGATGAAAAGTGCTAAAAAAAAATGCTACAATTTTACATGAGATTTTTCAATCTATGCAACAATACACTGGTGGTATCAATGTTTTTATATTCCTTGTTATAATTAAGTTCTCATAAGCCATACTCATTATATCACAGTTTCACTGCGGGTTGCGACAATGGCAGGTCAACGTAACTAGCTCAGGATCATGATAAATGGCCAATTTTTGTATTGGCAGCACTGAGCCTATTAGATTCTAACACCACAGAATCACGAAAAGATAAAAGTTTATGTATCATCTTTTGTTTGTGTGCATCATTATCAGCTACTATATACTTCTTTTACTATCTTATCATGACACTACATAGATTAAGTTTACCTAAACTTCAGGTTATGAAACCAGAGTTGCAGTAGGCTATTTACATAGCATGTAGCACCAAGATTCGTGAGTCCCACAAACATTCCTGCTTCTCTGCGCTCTTCATTAGGATCAAACATTCTGATACCCCAAGCATCTTCTGCTGCTGCAGCTGCTTTTGGACCCAGCCACTTACTCTCACCTAAACCTGACAGGCATCGGGGGTTACCTCTGCAGTTTCGCCTACAGAACATATTACGTTCATTAGTTTCAATGTAAGTAAAAAAGGTAAAGCTATCCCTGTAACAGGCCATGAAGGCTCACAGGGTTATCAGACTTGAGGCTCCAAAATCTTCTATAGACAATCGACTCACAGATGGCAGTAATGGTGTCGGTCTTACGTGCTGGCTGCACTTCACCCCCAGGAATTTTCCTGGTACTCATTTCTGTTAGATGATGAGTCGAACCCAGGGCCATAGTGCAGCTGGAAGGATTGGGTAAATTGAAAAACTCCACCTCATTGGGACTTGAACCCAAGACCTTCTGGTTTGTAGCATAGTTCCTCAACCAACTATGCTACCATGTGCTTTAATGTACATATTGCACAGAAAATTTCTTCTATAGTTACTTAATATAGAGTTTATTTAAAACAAAATTAGTCTTTATCATTAGGAAAAGTAGATCTCCTGCTAGTATACTGTTGGCAGACAGATTTTAACTTGGGAGTAAATCTGTATATTAAATAGTGAGATGCTATGCCTACTGAGGCCTGCTCTATTCTGCAAGCATCCATACATTTGCCAGACACAAGAATGATAAAATCCTAACTGTTAAGACCACACAACCAAAGGCAGTAGCCTCCAACTTCCTTTCTAAGAAAATATGGTGCTCGGAATAGAAATCTAAGAAGTTTATAAAACAGCAAAGGAAAAAGATTTAATTAATAACTATGTAACAGCAAGTGGTAATGAGTTATGCATCCGCCTTTAAGTCTGTCATACTTCTTTTCAGACTGATTAATGTTAGCTGTCATGTCCACTGTTTTCATATTTTGTATATTATTCATATTTTCCGTTGTTACAATGAACATCCTAAGTACGGGGCATCTCCAGAATACAGTGAAAATTGCTGTGAAGAGCAGCAACAATTTGTTGTGGTGAACTGTACTGACTCTTGTGATATACAACTGTGAAACATGGTCCATGACTGAAAAGAATAAAATTAAGTGAAATAAGCGTGACTTGAAATTTTTTAGAAAGGTGTAAGGACCAGCAAGTGAGCAGAGGGTTTGCAGAATCATAAATGAACCCCATACTACTTCAACACTCTTCAGTACAAACATCGTCATAAACCTATTCTCCAGTACCCTCAGTCTATGTAAAAGCAAAGGTAAAGCTACCCCTGTAATAGGCCATGAAGGCCCATGGGAGTGTGAGACGTTGAGGTTCCCACATTCTCTAGACAAACAGCTCATAGATGGCAGTGAGGCTGTCAGCCATAAGCGCCGGCCACCCTTTACCCCCAGGTAGATTCCTGGTACTCATTCCTGTTAAGAGGATGTGTTTACCCCAGGGCCATAATGCAGCTAGAAGGGTTAGGTCAACTGATAAAATCCAGTGACCTCATAGGGATTTTAATCTGTGACCTTCCAGCTTGTAGCAGAGTGCCTCAACCAACTATGCTACAGTGTGGCCCCTCAGTCTATGTCCTTCCCTTAATTTCAGAAACCACGTTTCATGCTCATACAAAACACATGGACTGCCAACAAACACAAACCCCATCAACAAGGACAGTCAGTGCCCAGCCCTCAGTTCAAATGAATCACCAACATTATCATTATAATGGGAATGAAAGGTATATCAATTGTTGGATTTATTACATCTCCCTATCAATCTCTACTTCATTCTAGCTTCCTAAACGTAAACAGAACCTGAGATGAGCACTTGTTTTGTGTGTATCATGCCCTAGTAATTTTCCAACTGAACAAAGATATGGGAATTGTATCACAGACTAAATTCCCACTATGGTTTCCATCTTGTACCTTGTTTAATCTATTTACGTTCATACAGAAAATCAGTCTTCACATACGAATACTTAACCAGCTATTAAACTGCAAGCATTAACAGCCCTGTAACACCTGTAATGCATGAAATAAAAAAGGGGCAAGAAATAAAAACTGATTTCTCGTACTTTCAAACCCGATTACTATTTATACAACACAATAAACTTACCGACAAGAATTCTTACAAGAATCCAGTCTGATCCGATAGGCCAATTCCACGTGTTCCTTTGTCACATTCTTAGGATCAGTACTGTCTGCCCAGCCCCACGCAGCTTTATCCATATCCTCCTTTCGCATGTTCTTCATATTTTTGTATTTGATTCCCAGTTACTGGAGAAAAAAACAATGCATTACGCAAATTATGTCAACTCTACTATATATGAACATGGTGTGATAACACACACCCTAACCACAGACTTCAGTACAATATAACCTCTTTCATCCTGAAGTTGTACCATCAGAAACTTACAAGTTCTACAAGAATAAAGTTATATATTCGCTGCATTGTGATTCTGTATCAAACTTTCTGTTGCTAATTACACATGTATCTGAAAAGAAATGTACACTGCATCGATATTAACTAACTCCAACACTACTTTTCAATCCACGCTCCCTATCCTGACTACATCACACCGATCACACCTACGTCAACATGACCAACATGACCATCACATACTACTCTGAGGACCAGGGCTGCCATAATATGCAAATGGGACGGAAATTTCCTTCCTTCCAACGAACATATACATTTGGTAGAGCAGCTACAAAAAGTTATTTGAAAATACCTGCCGCATGACATGAAATCTGCAAGCGACAATTGAAAGAGCCCTCCACTGGTCCCTATCCTGAGCCAGATCAACCCGATCCGTATAATCCCATCCTATCTAAGATCCATTTTATTATTGTCCACCCACCTACTCATTGGTCTTCCCAATGGTCTCTTTCCTTCTGGCTTTCCCACCAATATCCTATATGCATTCCTGCTCCCTCATTCGTGCTACATACCCTGCAAATCCCATCCTTCTTAAACTTTATCATTTTGATTATACTGTACTTGGAGAAGAGTACAAGTTATGAAGTTCATCATTATGCAGTTTTCTCAAACCTACTGTCATTTCATTTCTCTTTGGTCCAAATATTCTTCTCAACACCCTGTTCTCAAACACCCTCAGTCTGTGTTCTTCCCTTAATGCTAGGGACCAAGTTTCACATCCTTACAGAATCACAGGCAAATTTATAGTTTTGCATATTCTAATTTTTACGTTTTTGGACAGCTGACGAGAAGACCAAAGGTTCTGGACTGAACGGTAACAAGCATTACCTGAATTCAATTTCATCTTAAGCTTCTCCTGAATCAGGTTTTGATTTATTATAGTCGTTCCGAAGTATCTGAACTGTGCTACATTTTTAAGTATCTGTTAGCTATTTTTATGTAATGATTTTGCCCTGCATTCCGGTGACGAGACAGAAATATATGCTTAGCTTTCTCTATGTTTACTTCTAGACCAACTTCCTTACTAGAGTCAAATATATTTATTTTCACATAATGTAGCACTTTTTTTTTTTAAGTGATTCGAGAAACCATCGCTGGGGCTAACATCACGGCAGGACTGCAAAAGAGGAAGTCGAGGCTGCCGTGTCTTCTGCAGAAGGCGTGAGGGGAGACCTTCCTTGTCATGACGGAGCCGCTGGCAGTGGTGACTGAAGTAAAGCGATCTGCTTGTCTAGGTGTTCATCGCGATGATCACAGGGTAGTTAATCGTGGGGACCTACGTCCTGCGAGCTTACGCAGCGACTGTGAATTTGAGATACCGTGTAGTACGACAGTGTCATTATGGCGTCCCGGACACGCCCACGATTATTTCTCCAGTGACGACATAATAGCGGCTCGGTGGAAGAGGCATGACTGCGCGGATGGTGGGCTTCTTGAGGCGGTGAACGGCCTAGTAGGACAAAGTTCGAAGGCTACCCACCGAGGAGTGAACACGTCTAGGGCGCTGGACCACCCTCAATCACAACCTCTTCCGCCGCTGCGAGGCATGTCTCCATGAAGAGGGACAGCATTTTCAGCATCTCCTGTGATCTATGAACAAAGTTAAGAACTTTTCTTCGTTCTGAACGTTATCGGCCATCAGGCATGCTGATTCATAAGCAAAATTCGTACGCGCCACATAGCCGGTGGTGCACCGGTCGCCGTGAAGTGCAGAGCCGTGGAACCTGTCAACAAAGTAAGAATCCTCCCTGTACATCTGACATATAGCCTCAATTTCAAACTATACATCTAAAATAATGTATGCAACACCATAATTCATGTCGCAATACTTAGTAGGATTTGAGATTCTCTCAACGGTTGTTACCTTTTGGCATACTACGTCATTTAATTCGTGTAAAGTCAACCGACGTTTCGAAGGAACATGTTTGCGTCCATCTTCAGAGTCGAAGAATAAGCCAAGCATGAAACCCATATGAAGTAAGTGGCAAATATAGCTGTAGACATGTTCCGCCTAATGGTCGGTTAATATTCAGCAGATTGTACGGCTTTATATCCCAGCAGGTGGAATTCTTCATCCCACTTTTTTGGTTTACATAAAAAATTAAGAGATTTGCCTTTCCTAAACTATAAACCATGAATTAGTAACTGTTGGTTTTCGTTATTTTCTGTTCTGTTCACAGATACTGTGTTCCCATTACCTTTCCATAACACCGATAACGAAATACTTTCGGAATGTCTCGCTTTATCGTGGATTACCTACTTACTTACTTACTTACTTACTCATGGAGCTGAGCCCTTCTGGGGGAGCCGCCAATTCTGCAGCTACTCAAGAATTTCCCAGCATTTTATGGAACCCGATTCGGGTTACCCGAAGGTTCATTACAGTGTTCACAAGATCCCTCCACTGGTTCCTATTCTGAGCCAGATTTATCCAATCCATACCATACCATCATATCTCCCTAAGATCCATTTTAATATTGTCCCCCTTCCTAGTCCTTGGTCTTCCCTGTGGTCTCTTTCCTTCTGGCTTTCCCACCAATATCCTATACGCATTCCTTGTCTCCCCCATTCGTGCTACATGACCTGCCAAAATCATCCTCCTTGACTTGATCATTCTAATTATACTTGGAGAAGAGTACAAGTTATGAATCTCTTCATTATGCAGTTTTCTCCGACCTCCTGTCACTTCATCTCTCTTCGGTCCAAATATTCTCCTCAACACCCTGTTCTCAATCACCCTCAGTCTATGTTCCTCCCTTAATGTCAGAGACCAAGTCTCACACTCATACATAACCACAGGCAAAATTATGGTTTTGGACAGCAGACGAGAATACAAAAAGTTCTGGACTGAATGGTAGCAAGCATTACCCAAGTTCAGTCTCCTCTTAATTTCCTCCCAAATCAAGTTTCGATCTGTTATCGTTTCCAAAATATATGAACTATGCCACATTTTCATGCCTGTTGTGCCATCTATGACACTCTGCGGAACTAAATCTGAAACTCTATAGATGGCACAAGCGTAGCACTGCATCATATTGCCATCTGCAAAAGTTGTATGTAACTACATTCTTGTAAGTATCGAATCAAAGTTGCGTAACATGATGAAAACTGCTGTTCTCAAAATTATTGATAAATTATTTCATATACAGAAGTTAAAAGATAAATATTCAAGTGTTAGATTTGTAGACGATGAAATTTCATTCAGCAGACAGGGACAGCGAGGTTATGCATCAGTTCTGGAGCTGGGGAAATACGGTGAGCTCTAGGAAATTATTCACCTTTGGCGTGGGCTCCGAGGTTAAATGCGTAGGGAAAAGGCAGAATCATATACGATAACTCTTAACTTGAATTTCGACTATAAATGCATGCCAGAAGGGCTGGAGCCTTCTTGGATTTGACGTGTATTCCGATCGATGTTTACCGACGTTTCGGAGGAATGAATTTGCCTCCATCCTCAGGGTCGAAGGGTGAGGCGAACATGCAAGCAGTATGTCAGTATTGAAGACAGAGTTAGTACGATCCCATGAAATATCAGTAAATATATCAGCCACATCCGAGACTCTATGCGCTGCAGACTAACCGCCGTAAATTTCACATGACAGGAAGGTTTTCCAAACCGTGGCCAAGACTCGCGGCATGACTCCTTTGATGCTTAGGTTTAATCTATAGAAAACCAATCATGCCCCGAAAGGAACCCAGGGCAAACATAGCCCAAAGTAAATTTTGAGCAGTGCGAAAACTTGTGTCGTCATTTTCATTGTCATCATCGCTATAAAAGGTAAGGTTGTCCTCTGTGCTTAACTAATCAAGCACTACACCATGAAGGCGTATGGAGAAGTTGATGTATAGTTCCACATTATCTTGACCTCGGCATTAGTTGGAGGTAAGTGGTCAGCTTCAAGCCCCTGCCGCTTTACACCCGGGGAAATAGCCCACGGTGCCCATTGGATAGGAAGCTGGGTGGGCCCCAGAGCCGGTCTGGACGACGTGGAGAAGAGAAAATTCTTGATCTTACCGGGGCTCGAATTTCGACCCCTTGGTCATCCATCCCGTAGCCATTCGCTATAACGACTGCGCTATCCCGGGCTGAAGGTATATGAAAACTGGGTGCTGGGGAGAATATTTATACCTGAGAGGGATAAAAGATTAGGAGACTGGAGAACATTGTGGAATGAGGAGTACCATAGCTTGTACTCTTTGCCAAATTTAATTAGAACGATTATAAGATGAGAATATCAAGTGATAAGTACGGGGGAGAAAGGGACTACAAACAATGTTTCGGTGGAAATCCATATGGAAAGAGATCATTAGGAAGAACTAGGCGTAGGTGCGAGGCTAATATTGAAATGGGTCTTAGAGAAATAGGATGCGGTATCATGGACTAGATTGATCTGGATCAGAATATGGACCAGTGACGGGCTCTTGTGAACGCGGTAATGAGCCTCCGGGTTCCATAAAATATTGGTAAGTTCTCGAGTAGATGTAACTAACATCTTCTCAAGAATGACTCAGGTCCGTGCTACATGCCCTGTCCATCTCATCCTCTTTCACTTGATCATTTTAATTAAATTTGGCGAACAGTACAAGTTACGTGGCTCCACATTATGACGTTTCCTCAACCTCCCATTATTTCATATCTCTTGGTTCCAAATATTTTCCTCAGCACCCTGTTCTCAAATACCCTAAAGCAGTGTTTCTCAACTGCCGGGTCCTGGCATCAATTATACCGGTCTTATAAAAAAGAATTTACTGGGCCGCGGTCTCACAAAGTTTGAGAACCAGTGCCTTAAAAATGCATATAATATATAAAACATATTTTTATATATTGCAAATTAAAATATGAATATGGCACAAGTCTGGAGGGGTCAGAGGGCACTGGGGTTCTCTGAATGTAGTCGTGTATGTCTGGATGCAGTAAATGACAAAATTCATTCATTTTGCAAGGGTTACCTTATCTAATCCCTGTCCTATACGCTATCCCCTCTTCGGGATATGACCGAATTAATTGATTGATTGGTTTGGCGCACTATCTGGAAACTAATTAGAGAGGAGAAAGTGAAATAATGAAAACACGATGATGGTGTGGAGAGGGACGCAGACCTTCAATAACAAACTGATTTGATTTATATTGCTCAACACCACTACATTCCGTTTCGGGTTTAATTGTGTTTGTGTGCACACTGCGAATTTCCAGCTTCATACAAACAATACAGAATTTTTCTTCCATGATAACCTTTTCTTTGGACATCTGTAAGGAAGCCTAATATACGTATTATCCTAGTATCTGACTGATGGTACTGAGTAAAAACATAAAGATCTTAGAATTGCCGACATTCCGGCCAATATTTGAATGCAGCACCTCCCGAATACAGATCTAAAGCGTTACTGCTTGATCTTCTCTGTCTTCAAGTGAAACGAACATACAGCACACTTTCGCTAGCACAGTCAGTCTTGGCTTCGAGTCCCCTCAGGATCCATGACCATATTTTCTTCTTTGTGCTCTTGTAGGTTATTTTTGTTGGATAGTACTATAACACAAGGGTAAACTGAAGTGCTGTTACTGCTGCTGCTACTACTACTACTACTACTAATGATAATAATAATGACTCTGTGGTTTTAGCCCGCAAGTGAACTATACCGACCTAGATACCGCCGCTTTGTCGGAAAAATTAGTGCCAAATTTAGAGGATAGAGCGCGTCGCGTGGCCAGCTTTAATTTCGGTTTTCTAGACCGGAGCCGCTATTTCCTTGAAATAGCTCCTCAATTGTCTTCATGAGGCAGAAGTCAACACATTGCGTGAGCCGGGAATTGCAGATGCCTCAGCCAAGTGCCTGGCGCATTCTGCGCAAACGTCTTCGTGCGAAAGGATACCGGCTGCACACGCTCGACAGTCTCGGCCGATGGCCCCGGCCGGCCTGTTCGTTTCGAAGCGCACAGGCAGCCACGCTGCTGGAATTTCTTGTCGCACTCATGAATTGTTTTGTCCGTAGGTGGTTCTATGTAGTACTTGTTCCCAAACTTCCGTTGCACTATCACAATTGACTCAGTTATAGAAAATTTCAAGACACAGAACGTCTTCGCCATGTTTTTCACAACTGCCCCGTAGCGGTGAAAACTGTAAGTGAGCCACAACGCCTGTTTCCCGAACTTAGAGAAATTCTGTACCTACTGATATGCTCCTTTCTGCGGTGCCTCTCTTGGTTGTTGCGCTGCCGAGTTCGGAATTTCCAGAAGGACTTACGAATTACTCCGGATATACATACATACGAGTATAGATATGTATTCTTTTAACTCACATCAGGGACCGCGCCATAGCTCAAACGGTCAGTCGCTGGCTTCCCACCGCGGCAGCCCGGGGTTCGATCCCGGGTCTTGTCAAGTGAGATTTGTGGTGGGCAAAGTGACGCTGGGCAATTGTTCCACAATCACCCTCACCTATCATATGGGGCTGGTACAATAGGCCAGTAGTGGCCGCAGTACAAGGGACTTAGTCCCACCCCACTAGCAATACAAAAAAACATCAGTCTTTCACTAGATGCCAGGGCTAGTAATTTGAGAAATACTACACTATGCGAAATAAAAGCATTTGTTGTGATTTTATTGAACATAAAAATAATCAGATGTCCCAAAAGTAATTACTTATTTGTTTACAAGCCCGTCATAACTTTTAACATGGTTTTCCAACAAGATTTCACGTATTCGTTTCCAACTGATCCTATTTTCTTTTTATTTATTTGACAATATAAATCTTGCTGTCTTGAGAAGTCATGATTTTAAGAAATAAAATCAATTAGTTCGTTATAATTAATATACCATTTATGAAAGTTGTGTAGACAGTAAATAAAACATAATAGAACAGTTCCGATATCATACATCAGCTCAATGGCCCTTTGCGTTTTGTCATAAAACTAACAATCTTTCACTAAAACCAAATGCTCCGTTTAAAAGAAAATATTATCTCATGTAACAGACATAAAAATCCACGAGACTGTAGGAAGAGTGCAGAAACAAATTTGAGCGTTCAGCTGTGATGATGGAGGTTTCGCCAGGTACGGAAATCAAAGTTGGTCTCTCTTCTGCTGCAACATTTTGTTATTGTTATTATCAGGGTGGGGTAAGACTGGGCACTTGGTATTTATGTAAGACAAATCCCATTATGGTACACTCGGTTGATCATTATAGAGAGTCTTTATATAATATATATATATACGTTACCTCCATAGATACTACTACAACGTATTTCAGTTGTTGCCAATGAGTAGAGGTTTAGATTTTACTACAAAGTTACATATCCTATGTAATATCCCATGTATCCTATGTAAAAGATATTTTTTCATAGCATCAAGTAGGATAAGCTGAGGTGAATCGAACCAAAAAATTCAGCTGATATGCCAAACTCAGTTATTGAAAATTTATATTTACGCCATTTTTTGACAAGCATTTTTCTTCGTAAAAAATACGTATTTCTTTTTGCTGTGATCGCATCCGAACCCAAAATGCTGCGTCGAATTTCATAAAGGCTTTACATTGTCCTCATCACCTGTAAGTCAGTAAGTGAATGTGACCGAACATTTCTTGCTGCCAGGCCATTCTCTTCACCAGGTGCAAATATGGTTTTGATACATTTTGACTCCGTGGTACTATCCACAGCAAGTCTCTGCGACCCAGGCACGTTCGTGGTATCCTGAAAATGTCTCCTGCCCGCCTAAGAATACTTATATTTTCTCGGAAATATATTATAGCTTTTTTTTAATATCTTCTGACGCCAACTTACTCCACTGCATACAACAGAAGTAGGATTGTCGCTGGGAAAATCGTTTAAGAGACTAAACTTTCAAATTTTCTGAAAGCGGGCCTATTCGCCCCATCTAGTTCATTGATATATGACAACAGCTGATATCACTGACAGTCTGCTGATAATGAATATGGCGTTCAGAACATGTGCCTACGCTTTAACCTCACGAGCAATAGCAAGAAACTGAAATGACGTATGGCATGTCTGCATAAATTGTAATGCTAACACACAGGAATTTTCCTAATCTCTCTGATTTTAACTTAATAAGTATCACTCAATAAATACCTTTACCTTAGTGGTATTTAAAATAAGCTGAATTGCATACGTACGTGTATTATAGTAAAATTACAGTACTTTTAAGTTACAATTTTAAAATTACCGTAGAGTGACAGGGGATGAGATGAACTGATCCATATAAATCATCCTTACATTTGTATGATTTTTATCATAAATTCGTTTACCGATGGAAGGAAATTTAAAGATCTTTCAATCAATATATTCAAAATAAAATTCAGAAGAATAATTTCCGAGATATTTGTCTATTGGTGCCTGATTAGGTCGGGAGGAATAATTCTTTTCAAAACTAGAAAATACCGAATTCTGTGTTGTATTTAGATCTCCAGACTGTTTGTTCCGGTATACGTAAAATGATATCAAATTCCAGGTTGTTGCAAAAAATGTATTTTGTTTTATAAGACGTCATTTCGAGTGGTATGAAGAGAAAATTATTCATTACTAATAAATAATAGTTCTTATTTCATATAGACAGATGATATGAAATTAACTGTGAGCTAGATATCTTGACAGAAGAGATATTCCATATATTCATATTTGTCTTATAATTTAATTATTCACCTTAACCCAGTGACATATTTTTGACGGTAATGAAATGGGACCAGAAAATAGTCGAAATGATTTAGTTTCAGATGTAATTGACATGTACAGAATTTTTAAGATAGTTTTAAGATATTTACTTTGAAATTTTAAAATTAAATTTGTGTATGTATTTTGAGAAGATTAAACCAAAGAATGGTCAGTAGTTTAAATGATTTAGTTTTTTTTTTAATTTGAAGCATGCTTACACAATACAGAGCAGTCCATCTTACTGGAAGAGTTCAGTGGATGCTATTGAGCACTTAAATGCAATGTGTCTGTTAGTTTATTTGAGGAGAAACCATTCATTACAAAAAACAACTACACTCTCTGCTTCAAAGTTTCTATTAAACTTTATTACATTTAAAGACACCCACACACAACAGCACAAGATAAAACATATTTCTTACTTTTCAATGTTGCAAATGTTATTTGCAAGCTCCAATAATCATCTTTCTTTTCTTAAAAAAACTTTCCTTAGAAAAACTGAAACAAATCGCACAATAGTTACTGACAGATGTTATTTACATCCGCCAATAAAGGCAGGATGCTACACTTTTGTCTTAGGCTAAAGATGTGTTTCTGTGTAATAACACATTAGTCAGACCAAGATTGAAATAAATGCAGTGATTTGATAAAATGCGCACCTCAACAAGAAATCTCTTCATTTCCAGCCGTTCAAAATGAGGAATCTAATAGGAACGCCCTCATGTATTCTACTACCCTTTTAAACATGCCCAGTTTGCATTCAATCAATTGGACTTTAAGACTGCCTAATTAATATACATACTATATTGTGTTTCACCAAGACTTGAGTTATGCACATAACTTTGGGCTAAAAAACAAATCTTTCACGCAATTTTCAATATTAACATTAATAACAATGATTTACAACATTAAAGTCATAATTCTACAGTTGAACATCGCGATGGAGTGTTTTGTTATTTTCTTATTTCAATGTACGCAATTGACTTGTGTATCGTGAATCGTATTATCATCATGACATGTATTTCTTGTGTTGATATTCCGTGAAGTAAATTTATATATAAGAAGCGACAGTAAAACTTATAATGCTATTTGCAAAAACTACAACTTTCTGTGTAAGAACAAATGTAATCAAAGCAAAATTTTTAAATCGTGTCTATATATCCAAAATATGAAATATGCTGTCAAAGGAGTAATCGTTGTTATACTGATAATTTCATGCCATTTCTTCTGGTTGCCTGGTATACAAAACGTGGTATATTGTATTCTTTCGGACAAATTTTCTCTTAGAGACCTCTTATCAAAATTTTCCAAATTACAAAATTATTCAGTTATCACTTAAAAGCTAACGATTCTACGAAGGCTGAACTAGGAGCAATGTTCGTAATAGAGAGAAAAAAATACTACTTTTAAAACGCTTTCCTGCAAACAGGAAGGACCGATGAAGTTTAAAATCAACTACATCATTTCAACTACATATTGATGACAAATGCCTATCTGAATGTGAAATAAAATTGACAAAACTTTAAACATTTAAACAAATTTGTCCACATGTGCCACAGTGTGATTCAAATCACGTTTCACGTTGTGTGTCATACTTTAACAAAACACTCCTCACAACAGCAAACAACTGACGATTTAAAACAGAATAATATTTCTACATTTAAGCAAAACTGATGTAAAATTAACAAAATATGCCCCCTTCTAAAAATAATTCTCATTCATTCGTCTACATCTTTGACATAAATTAAAGACAGCACCAAATTATTATATAGTACTCTTAAAAAGAAAGTAAGTACCACTTCTGAAGTTACTATAGCTTTGTATATACCTGTATTGCTTTTAGAAACTAAAGCATTACACGTACAACAATATATAATAACAACAAATCATACAATTTGAAAGACAGAGAAAATAAATCAGACTTTCTGAAATATTCATGTTTTGTGCACAACAAACACACGCACACATACAAACAAACATACGTACATAACTTATAACCTAAAACAAAAAGTCTAGGTTGTAAACAACATTACGTGAAACATAATGAATACAATAATAAGATGGTTGTTACAATACATAATAATGATTATAATAGGAACTTAAAATGTAAGAACAGAAACTTCAGTGGTTGCAGAATATGTAATGATTGGATATGAATGAAAGAAGATGACTGCAATGATGACGTAATTAATCGTATATCCTCATTAGCATACAGACAACTCCTTATTGTGAGCTAGTAATTATGCGTACCGCGTGTTTTCATTATCAACAATTCATATTTTTTACCAAGCAGTTCCAATTTCGATTGATTATCTGAACAAAGAGCTGTCATTTCTATAAACATTGTTCATCAACCATCTTCGAAAATGAAATGTATTTTCTATCAGGTGGGAATTCTATTCATATATATATATCCCAGTCGAAAGATTTTATATTTTCCTATGCATTATGCTGTCAAAAATGTTGTTACAATCCAGTGGCACAAGCACAATCTTCCTGAGTTACTCGGGAAATCAATACAATCACTATGTTTTTCGCGTAAACACTAGTAATATAGCACTGCTCACAGACAGAACTACAGTTACATGCCTGAATTTCTGCGCTTGGAAAATACTGGTCAATTTATTTTCTAATAGCCTTGTTACTGCAGAACAATCTGTATCTATTAAACATCTTCTTTCTGTTTCTTTCCAATCAATACATGAACAAAAGCAGTGGGTAAACTTAACTTTGTGTTTATGACGCCAGAAGTAAACACAATGAAAATATGTGGTTAAATTTGGTAATCATTTGCAGCAGAACACAACTGGTTGGGCAATGTTTATAATTATTTAATAAACATAACCTAGAATCTTACAGTGTAATGAATTAAAGCACCAGCACATACGGTGTTATATCTATATATAAGTTTCTCAGAAGTTCCTTCGTAACCAACTTTTTGCAGTTGGAAGTGTAAATGAATATGCAGCAATCATTGAGGTATAAGGAAACCTTCCGTTAATATTTTATACAGTTTCCAAGAATATATTGGTACATGTAATTAATATAGATATCCTTAAGGCATGAATTTTAAAAAATCTCTTTACAAGTTTTTCTGACTGCACGCTTAATTTTTCCATAAAAGAGCACTAGATAAAATTTTACATTTAAAATGAAATGAGTGTTATTCATATCTAGGAAACCTGTGTTGGCATTTTACTCCAGAACACTATGGATTAATAATAGTAAGTTATTAACGGTATTAATAATGGTTATAACTAGTAATAGTCGCAGTAAATAATAATAATAATAATATAGTAATAATCATAACTGAACACCATACAGTGGATTATAACTGCTTGGATTTGGTTAATGCGAGTTATCTACAACGTAGAACAATGAACTAACAGTATACCTTTATCTTATTCTGTTCTGAAACATTTCAACTGTATATGGTGTAATGAGCTGTAATATTATGTATTAATTAAAAACTATTTGACTACAACATCCTGTAAACTATATGTTAATAAAGATGGAAGCAAAACTTATCTGTTAATTAACTTGGACTGAAATGGTATGGCGGTATTTAATGTGCAGATGAACAAAAGAACATTGAGAAGTGTCGCATAGTATCATTTCCATATTTATTGTATGTATTCTCTGAGGTTTGCTAGAAAGAATGTTTATAATGCAACGATTCATAAATTTTCTTCCTTTATGTATTTGTATTTACTCAGAAATTATTAACTTAATGCTTTACAAGGTTGAACGTACTTGAAAGTAATAAATTTTAATGTCTTCCTACCATGATTAACATAGTAAGATATCGCAAATCTGAATGTCCTACTGCCACATTTAACGCAGCACGCTTATATGACAGAGTAATGAAACATAATACGTAAAAATTAATTTGGCTCTTATATTAAGAAACTTAATTGCAGACGTTATTTTAGAATTACGGAAAAGTGAATATAATTCTGGAAGACATATTCTATCACATCTTTAAACTAGTTAGTTACAAGGACAAGCTAAAATTTCTTAAACTAAAAATTCAATTAGGCGTTTCATAAAGTTATGCAATGTATTATGTGAAATCTTTTGTCACGAAGGCTGTTTAAGTTCTTTAAAAAATGCTGCAATGCAAACCATTTTGAAAACTGAACACACATGCGCCTTGAAGCTGTACTACATATGTTTGTAAATATCTACTTTGCTTATAACATGCACGTTAAATCTACTGCTAATATATATAATGTTAGTGGCAATATTGTAATAAATTGTGTAGAATGATATACATGTACTATTGAACTATTCTTGAAGCTGGCTTGTGCAGCCCACATACGGACAGTTATTATCATGTAACAAGTAAGAACTGAAACCTGGTGTTACAGAGAAATACTTTGTTATGTACGCTTGGGAACATAACCACTTTATGTACAGAGAACTCTAAAGACATTCATGTTTGTTTGCGGATGGCATGTGTGTTCATACTTTTCCATTTCAGTTGTAAATAGAATATACAATAAAATATGGGAATGGCTTCTAATTAAATTTATTTGAGACGATCTACCCAGATCACCAAGAGTGCTTAATAATATTAATGTTAACCTTTCTATAAACATAATTTTGAACAGTTCAAATAATACTGTCATATACGCTCTTCGATCCTGTTTCCGTCTATTTTATAAGCTTGTTTTGAAACATAATATTTTCATAATATAGAATTATATTGATACAGTTGATTTGCACTACTTAGTAAATTTGTATGAAAAAATAAGTTTTTTTTCATAAACATATTATCTAACATTGTCATTCACATATTCCTATGTACGGCATATGACATCAGGAACGTAATCCACGATTTTAAGAGGCTGAGTTTTTTTTTTATTCATAGATTCTTCATATTAAAAAAGTCACTTGAATTAAGTTTTAATTCAGAAATTTTCTGTAAGTAAACTTCCAAGTGCGCACCTTTTGCGGGAAGGTAGACATCAGGCCAGTAATTGATTTTAGCCCATATATGGAAGTGTTATTACTGTCGGTGGTCTGTAGTTTCAGTTCATCTTAGTCAGAGACCTGCCTATTATACTTATTCACTGCATTGTGGACATAACTCCTTAGGAGTAAGTCGTGAGCGGTTAAATTTGAAGGCTTCGTTGTTCAGGTCGCGTGACTTGGCTTTCAAGGCCAAATAGGACGCCCCATAATTTCTCCGGTTTTTAAAATAAATCCAGATTTTGTTTAAAATCGGTTATGTGCTACGCGTATCTGTCATGCCGAGAAAGGAAAGCGCATGGAAACTCACTGAGAGATTCTTTTGAGTTAAACTTAATTCGAGTGAGTGGTTTTTAAATATGTATGATGATTAGGAAAAATATAGCTTCCTAAAATCTCGGAACGACTTTCACGAAGTTTTATGTCTACGTTCTTCAAGACTCCCACTGCGTTCTATATAATTTGGGGACTTCTATTTGTCTAAGAACCATAGAAAAAATCGTTCTGATATTGAAGATGCTTTCATGTACGTCAGGAAAAATTTTGTATGTTCATTTCTAATGTTTGTGCTTCAAAATTTCTCTCAATATTCAATTGTTCCACTGCGACAAATACTGTAAATATATGAACCAACTTTTCATGGTTGCAAGTTCACAGACTTTTAAGAGATGTAATGAAGGAATGAACGAAGACAATAGAGTGGGAATAGGGCATTATTGCATATATGGTGTTTAATAAATTTGATATAATTTTCTCGGTTTAAATTTTATTCCAAAATATGTTCATTATCGAACTGGTTGTTTTTAAATAAAAATGTTTTGTTGCATTCATCACTAGGAATATGAACTGTATTATTCGCTGCAAGCAGCAATGTCCGATTATCTTACTCGTGTACAGATTAAGGAAATGTGATACTTAATTTCACAATAAAAAACAAAATTGTGAAACCGCTGTAATTTTTCATTCACAAGCTAAAAAATGACCCAACTGAATGTATATTAAATTAGAAAATTTCCTTTTAATATTAATTTTACATGTAACAATTTTCTTTCAGTAAAAATATATATAAGTTGGGTTGAAATTACATTTTTAGCGTTAAACATATCAATGGGGAAGCCTGGGATATTAAAAAATAGACCAGCAAATCCTGTACAACGGGTCACTTAATATTAGTTCTGTATTCCACTATCTCTCGAATCAAGATGGATGGAAGATGAGTGGCCGAGAGAAGAGAAAATCTTATAACAGCCAAACCCCAAAAAGTGGCCCTTGCAAAAGACCCCACTCTATGCCCCAAAAACCTTTCATTCGTTCATACTATCTTCATATTTGGGACACACAAAACTTATCTGTTACATTTTTTTCATGGATTTTTGGATTGCAAGTTTTAAAACAGAGATATCTTAGTTAGTGGTTGAAAAACTGGTATAAGACGAACATATTCCATGTTGTACAATGGAAGAAAACAAACAGTTATTAAAGATGAGACCGCGCAACGAATCCACGATATGAACAAAAACCGACGTACATTGAGTACGCTGAGCGCTACTGTAAAACAAAACTTGCTTATCAATAATTTCGATACACATTTGTAGGCCTCTTGAGATAATTTTGAATTTTGAGAGTTGTTAAAACATCAGTATTGATACTGAGAAAACAATGTAGAAAAATGTAAACTGGTAACATAAATACTTCTGCACCTAATTATGCTTTACATAATTATTTGTGTTATATTAAATTGTGTTGCTAAACATGTTCCCAAACAATTGAATCAAAAAGTGATTAAATTGTGCCGGTAACACAACTGGTGATCAACTGTAGGCCTATTTATTTTAAATTTATTTTTAAAATGTCGTACATACACTTCGAAAGTGATATTATGTCACTTCTAGCATATGTATTTGGCTATTGTGTAGAGTTTACATAACAAGTTTCCGACTCTATGTATTTTTAATAACAATGATTTAAACGTTCTTTAATAATACAATGGAAAACTGATATTTTAAAAAATAAAATAAGTAGATACAATGAATCTGTGGAGATTCACCTTGATGTTGGTTTTTATATTAAAATACTACATAACTGCAGCATTTTGTAAAAGTGTATTGTGGACACGTTGCAGTGTTGTACTGCACAGCATGTGTACTAACTATTGTAAATTGTGGCACATTTCTGTTCCAGGGTCCTCTGTCCATAAACCATGGCATATTTCTCTCATTACGACATTGAATCATGTCATGCTTTGGCTACTTGGCCCTAAGTGTGCTTGAAACTCTGTTCCTCGTCTCCTTCTACATCCACTTTCTCATTTAAAGGGACAAGCAATTATGCACAACATGATTTACAGGCAAAATACCCTTTTTTGTGTTATAGTACATAAGAGTACGGGACTCGTTATGTATTTGGGCTATTGTAAATGATTGACAGCAGGCTGCAGCATGTAGATTGTTCATTCTGATACATAAAGTTGCAGACTTATTATGTACTGGTTATACTATGACGCTGTGGCTTGCACATACGAGTGTTGCTACTGCGTATGTGTTTGGGCTATTGCAAGAAAAGTTATCCCCAAAACTTTTTATCCATTTGAGACATATACATTTAGAGTGTCACACTCTATATTATATATTTATTACTGTGGCGGCTATTTTGTTTAAAGAGTTGAGTAGTGAGTATGTATTTGCATAAGAGTGTCAGACTCGTTATGCATTCGGGCTATTGCAGGAAAAACCGTCGCATAAAGTTTGTGTATGTGGTACACCAAGGTGTCAGACTCGAGGTGTATTGGGCTATTGTAACTTATTGTAAAACATTTTTTCCATATGTGGCATGTGTAATATGGTACATTTGAGTGTCAGACTCAAAATGCATTGGGCTATTGTAAATCATATGATAAGTGTTTGAACAATAATACATAACATGAGTGTTGGACTCAGAATGTATTTGCTTGATATTTAATTTGTGGTAAAAAAATTAATGATCCGAACGTTTGTATATACAGGTGGTTACATAAGATGGCTATTGCAAAATAACTGTTGTTTTGAACGTCAGCTTTTAGGCCATTGGTGTGAGAACAAAACAGTTTTATGTTTCGATTTACTGTCAATATATCTACACTCTCTACATATTACTAAGGCAGCTTCATTTTTGTTGTTAAGTTTGTAGTTCGAAATGGAATATCAGAAACAATGTCGTGTCATGCAATTTTGGCCTTTTTACACATATATTCAGAATATTAGGTTTTGTTTTCGAACAGAAACATCTTCCGAGCAATTTTAAAAACCACTCGTTTTCAAATTTGAAGTTAGGATTTATATCATCCCTGCGCAGTGTAAATGAAATAAACTTTTTGTTTATAGAATCTAAGTGGCCGATTTTGTTAAAGTAAATACAAGCCGTGCAGTACATAAATTATGACTGCTGCCGTTAGTGATATCTCATATTATATTACGATATTTTTTAAATAAATTTTACATTTTATACCTAACAGAAACCTGAGAAACATGTATTATATCTACTTTACAATTTAATGGGAATTAAAATCACTGGAAGATGCTACGAGATGGTGTTATGAGTAAACCGTAAACGTTCCACAGTCCTGTTCGCACACAAAAATAAAAATAACATGTTCTATTTATGTATGAGCTGTTTTATGTGTACCGGTTCTGTTAATGAAAATATCTTGCCATGCTGAACACCTGATGGTCAAATTCACTTTCAAGAAACACGACAAACATTAGGCCGATTCATTCAGCCGGGACTCCTCAATGTAATAACCAGTATCCTGCACAATATTACGTTTCTAGTAAACAAGGTAGTTCTTCTGCGTATTGAAGAGCAAACACCGAACAATGACTTCAGGCTAGTTATGAAGGGGTCATAATTTGTTATTTTATCGGTTTTGTAAATTTCTGTATTCATCCAATCTAGAGTGAAATAAACTAAGAAATAAATCATACAGATCCTTCAAAATGGCGCGAAATGTTTTTATTAAGTAAAGAAGCAACCATGCAAATTATTCCCTTGTATTTCTGGAAGTTCGTGACCTTCAAACTTAGTCCTTTTCTTTTAGAATCATTTCCGTTTATTAAAGGATGATGAATGAAAATTCTCCTGTTTCTTCCTTCTTCCCACAATCTTTCCTTTCAATTTCTTGCCAGTTCTTTCCTTTCTTCCTAATGTCTTTCAACGCTTGGATAAAATATCTTGTTATGGATCAACCCATAGATATTCTTCTTTCAAATTTAATTCTAATGCTCTTCCCAGTATTTTTGTTCTAGCTTTTTTTTTGTATATGCCTTCCTTTTCTGACTCTATTAACAAATTCTGGATTCGAACCGATATATAGGCTTGAGAATTAGAGTTTCTGTCGTTGACCTCTAGGTAAAACAAACTTAAAAAACACTGTAATTTTTATTTAATCTGGTAGAATCAGTTTCAAACTTGAAAGTGAAATGAATTCAAAATGTCAACATGGCAACACAGTTTTATAAATATTTACTGATGTTGTTTCCGGTTCTTGTGTTTGAACAATACTGTATTCTTGTGTTCATCATATTTCGGTACTTTAAAATTGGTTTTGTGTATCGACCAACTAAATGTGCATGCAACCCATGACTGAATATTGTGTTTACCAAGGCCATCTGAAATCACGCGATGTTTGTCATTGCGGTAACAATCAAGGGTTGGTTTCAGGGCGACCATGATAGAAAACTGTATTGTAACTGTACTGTGTATTGTAGCATTCGACATATAAAAAGTGACATGAACGATTATTGTTATGTGAACTATTAACATATTACCCCAACTGGAGACAAAAGAACTGAAAATTACGGAACTATTAATGTAGGTAGTTATTGTTTTTGTTTGTACATAAAAATTAACGTGGCTTTTACGTCACGTTCTGTATCCAATAGTTTTGTAGTTCAGTTTTAGGCAATTTGTACAGAGATCCTATGATTACGTTGAGCTATAACGGGAGTGTTGTCGAAATAAAGTAATGTCACAATTTTAATAATATTTCGCGTTATGATGTTACTTTGTTTCCTCAACATTTCGGTTAAAAATACAGAAAAGACTTCCTACCATTCACTCGAACCATTCACACACACACACTATTAAGTCGAACGCATATAACCTAACCGGAAACTGCGCAACAAACTAAAAACAGATCGCATAATAATAGCAGCTACTGTGATTATGAACTGAAGATAAACACTTTCTGAAACTGACTAATAAAATATTGCTTCAAATATATTGTCCGTTTTATGGCTAATCCCCGTGCTATTTTTAAATATCGATTAAAAAAAAAAAGAAATTAAAGCCATAAAGACAAAACATAAAAGGAACTAATTCGATAAATAATAGTCTCATAGACTGAAAAAGTTTTGACTCTATCCTAAATAAAAATAATGATAATCACAGCCAATGTTTCTTTTCGAACTAAATTGCGCAGTCTTATTAATAACTAATATATAATATATATATACTCATTTCACTAATTGTCTGGTGATTTTTATAAAGAAAATAGTAGGAATTGTTATTTAAAAATAAATGGTTAACATTTGAAAACATCGACAGCTTGTGTTTGCTTAAATTTTCTGTTTTTAATATTTTGTTGTACCAAATGGAAAAAATTATTTTCGTAATATTTTATTTGCATTTGTTTGATCGAAAAAAATTTCCGAACTAATCTTGTTATCTTGGCAACATTTTTTGTTGTTTCTTTCAAGGAAAAATAAACTAGTTTTTATCACAATCACACACACGTGTATATATGTACAGACACTCAGAGCAATTGTAACAACATACTATCTGTCATGTACATTTGTTACTCTACATCTTGCTTGGCTAACGGTGGAGTTGGTTACACAGTATTTGCATTCCGTTTCCCTTCTTCAGAAAACTTGCACATTATCTTCATTTTGTCTTAAATTATATATTTAATAACAAAAATCACACATATAATTTGTTCTTCCCTACTTATTCGGACTACCTGTAGTTTCAATATTATTTATATATAAATTCACATGCATATAGTTTATTCCATGCTTAATTTTTCCTGCATTATTGGTTTAATAATAACCAAGTCTTCATGGGTTGTTTTGTTGCTGCTGTTGGTTCTGTGAGTTTCCAGAGGTGCCGGACAGGCTGAAGCCCAGTGCACGAGGATCACCTCCATGAAGTCGCAGAGCCTGCTCTAGCCGTTGTTCCTGTAACCGCAAGGCTTCGCTCAGGTCGGGCGACACCTGGTTGTGATGTGCATGATGGTGGTTCATGCCGCCTCCGTTGTTGTTCCCACCACTGCCGTTGTGTGCCGCAGCTGCCATATTGTGGTGCCGCAGCGCCGCTGAATTTCCGTCGCCTCCCGCGGACGCGTTGTTACTCGACGCCGCGACGGCTGCCGCCTGACTGACCGCTAGCCGGAGTGCCGCCTCGGCTTGGGACCGCAAAAGTGCTTCAGCTTGGTGTATCCTAAGGGCCGCCGCCTCCGATGAAGCTTGCTGGTGATTGTGATGACTCTGAGGTCCGCCGTGGTGGTGACCCGCCATGGAGTCCAGCCGCATTGCTGAGTCTACAGCCATTGAAGATCTCATAGCTGCATCCATGGACCTCATGGAGTCAGCCATGGACGCGGCGCGCATAGCCGCATTCATGGCCGCCTGAGCCTGTGCTGCCGAGACGCCACCGTCCCCAGACGTGGGAGGGGTCGATGAACCGGGGCCTCCAGCAGAGCCGTTGTTCCCACTGTTGCCACCTGGAGACCCCACTCCTCCGAGTCCTGAAGCGCCCATTCTCATGGCAGCTGCGAGGTTCACAGCCGCTGCCTGGACGGCGGCCGCGGCGCTGGAGTCGACGCCGATACCTCCAGGTCCGGGGCTCCCTAGGCCTCCTGACACTCCTGCCGAAGACTGGCCCACCATGGCTACCATGGCGGCCATGCGACTCGCGTTGTGCAGCTCTTCCGCCCCGTACTGCTGCTGCAGACCATTGCCTCCTCGACCGCCCAATATGTCGCCCAATTTGTTGTTGTTATTGTTGTTGTTCATGATTCCGCCGGGTTCAGAACCCGTGCTGGAGAGCCGGCCACCTCCTGAGGAACTATCCGAGTGCGCGGACGGACTGGCACACATGGACGACGGTCCGCCGCCTCCAAGTCCAGCTAGGCCCCCAGCTGATGATGCTGCAACGGCTGCCGCCAGAAGAGACTCCCTCTCCCGGCGTTCGGCGGCCGCTCGGCTCAACACGTACTGGGCCGCGAACTGGTGCTTGGGGTCCATCCGCATGTGCTCCATGTGGCTGAGTAACCCTGTGAAAGAGGACAAGAACTGTCACTGTGTTGCAGATACATTTGGTCCTACCCAGCGCGTCTCAAGTGAATATTCCCTGCCGTTGCAGAGAGCCTTTCACAACAATTCAACAAAACCCTGACTCTGTATCACCGATACAATTTAAATAATGTAGAATGGGGAGAGGCGGTCATGGCCTATATTACAAGTAGTATCCTCGAATTCATTAGAATGGCCAATGTACAGGCCGCGATTTGAACCGGGTACCTCCCAGATTCAACCTAAAGCGTTACCACAAAATCAAGCTGGTTGATACTTCGCTGATTATGTTTAAAAAAATGATATTCTCAAGGCCTCTCTGAAATCCTCACGGAGTTTTGAAGTGGAAACAAGCAAATGTAAAACTTCAGAACACAGCAAGTTAATATTATTAGGGCAGACTCTGAAACCAAAATCTTCTGTGACCATATTAATGAAACTAAGTGTATGTCACGTTTATATTTCTAAGTCAGAGGAATTTGCATATGCCCATGTTTAGAACTAAAAAGGAGTTGTCGCGGACATATTCACAAAAAAATGCCGAGTTTGATATGAAAAAATACCAAAATTAGATGCCTCAGTGGTTGAACTCATGAAAGAAGCCACATGCATTAAATTTGCTAAGGATATGAGGGAAATGTTTTTCATTAAAAAAAAAGAAGCAGGAAGTTATATACATAAACAGAGACAGACAGCAGAAAGCTTGAGGACGAGAGGGTCTGATCAAATAAATGGGCCCAAAACAGAGGAAATTTCTGTATTCCGGGAGGTCACAGCATCGGCCATTCTAAGAAAAAAAAAGTATATATGTACATGTGTCCTATTCGGAACGGTTTCCGAGCTAGAGTTAATTCACTGTAATGATTCGAAGTTATTGATGAGGAAGACACATTACGTACCGTTGCGAATGCCGGTATTTATTGTTCTAGTGACAAAGTTGGTACAGTTACATTTTTTTCCTTGGCACTACAGCCCCAGTGGGCCTAGGCCTACCTCCACGAACTTCTCCGTTCAGTTCGGTGTTTCTAAATCTTACACATTCGGTAGGACTCCTTGGGCGAGTGATCAGCTCGTCGCAAGGTCACTACCTGTACACAAACACAGAAAAACTCACACACATAAACTAAACATCTATGCCCTGAATGGGATTCGAACCCACGATCCTGGTTTCCAAGCGAGCGAAGACAGTACATGCCTTAGACCCCTCGGCTACAGTTGCAGTTAGGTAGTATAATATATTTTCGAAAATTCCACCGTCAACATGAGCACATTTTGAAACTCGGGTGAGGATATGGCGTGTTGCCAGTCTGAGTGCGTCTTGACTTTACTTTATGCGGGCGGTAACATCCATTATGTGGTCGAGCAGTTCCTCTCTTGTATCCACTTTTCTTCTGTTCACTTTACTCTTCATCCAACCTACAACGCTACAAACTCATGTATAGCCTTACGTGAGGTTTGATATAAGCTTCATCAGCCAGCACATTACCACAATTTCTTCACTGGTTGAATCTTCTCCTCTGAATAAAAATTTAGCAGGACTCGGATAAGAAAATTTAGTTTCGATTATGCTACAGCACTACAGATATAATGTTATAATGGTGTGCAAATTATGAGAAAAAAAGTTAATATACACCAAGGATATATTATGAAACCAGATCAAAACAGAATCAAATTCATATTTGTTTTCCTTCAGTATTTCATGTATTTGTCAGGGGTGGTACCTAACCAGCAGATGGGAGCGCTCTTGTGTCTGAAACATCTTTGTGGATGTCATCATCAGAGAGAAAAGTAGACCTTTACGTCAATATTACAAAGTTACTAGACTCTATTTTCAATAAAGTGTGACTTTTTAGCCATTGCTAGGCAACGGGTCAGTAATCACAATCCCGCAACACAAGAGCACGTGACAATAGGCCATCCAGTAAACTTAGTGTTTTCCGTGAGTTTCTTACCGAGGAGTTATAAAGGAACAGTGAAGACGCAACGAAGCAGTAGGAGGCTTGGAATAGAGAGCAGTAGTCGTGAGGTGAAGTAGTCGAGAGGGAATAGAATTGGATCGAGTTCTGGAGATGGCAGTCGTCGAAGGTGATTGAGAAGAAACGACAAAAATGAATTAAAATATGTCAAGAAGAATTCATGTGTGATTTGGAGTTACAGTGAGATTATTATAAATCCGTTACCAGGATACGACTAGCAAAGACTGAGAACCCTAGTGTGTGTGTGCAACTGGAAAGGGTGTAGAAAAGTGATAGCGCTGTACGGCCTACAGTCCCGAACTGTGTGAATGTATACGGTGCAACAAACCCAATTACCAATCCTAACATCGTCTTATAAGTCACCCCTAAAACTAAACTCCATGGCTTTAGTCCGGAAGCGAACTATACCGACCGAGCGACCGTCGCTTGTCATCGAAGTTAGTGTCAACTTTAGCGGATAGAGGGTGTCACGGTTTTCTAGACCGGATAAGTCACCCCTACGCTTGACAATATGATGTGAACATAATCACCACACCGGATATATCGTTAAAGGCATAGGACTTTCGTTTCCATAAGGTTGCCTACTATTGGTATGACGCACCTCATAAATGTTCAGACAATAACAGTCAGATAGGAGAAGGATCTCTGGTACGCAACGGAATCATATAACCTGATAAGAGTGTAGAATATATTACGGGCGGAAATTCGTATGTCGTTATAATGAGGTCGCCGATGCATTAAACGTGCATGCACCAGCTGAAGGTAAAAGTGATGAAACAAAGACAACAGAACGTAAAACGTGCATTCAACAAATTCCTCATTTACCACATGCATACTGCTTCAGATGAGTTCAGTGCAATATTAGACAGAGAAGATTTCTTCTAACAGAAAACTGGGAATGTGAGTTGCCTGAAATTAGTCATGATAATGGGGATCCAGTAGCAACTTGAGGCATGCAAATTCATCCATATACGAAACGTACAAATTATCACATTGCAAAATTTACAGAAACACTTATACTCTGATACAAAAAAAAAACTCCGTGGCCTGTAGCCCGCAAGCGAACTATACCGACCGAGCGATCACCGCTTGCCGGCGAAGCTAGTGTCAACTTCTGCGGATAGAATGCGGCGCGTGGTCAGCGCAACGAATCCCCACGGCCGTTAACTTCGGTTTTCTAAACCGTAGCCACTATTTCCTTGGAATAGCTCCTGAATTATCCTCACGAGGCTGAGTGGACCCCGTTCCAGACCAAATTTTTTTTATTGCTAGTGGGGTGGGACTAAGTCCCTTGTACTGCGGCCACTTCTGGCCTATTGTACCAGCTCCAGATGATAGGTGAAGGTGATTGTGGAGCAGCTGGTGGAATGAAGATTGGCAGGGGAAACCGAAGTACTCGGAGAAAACCTGCCTCAACGCCACTTTGTCCACCACAAATCCCACTTGACCAGATCCGGGATAGAACCCGGGCCGCCGCGGTGGGAAGCCAGCGACTAACCGCTTGAGATATGGCGCGGCCTTCCAGACCCATTACTTCTCAGAAAATCTGGTAGCGCCGGGAATCGCACCTAGATCTCTGGATCTGTAGCGAGGAACTCTGACCACTACACCACAGATACGAAGTCATAAAACCAGATTCACCATGTCTTGATACAAGATGGCATTTGTAGCCTATACACCTCATGTCCGAAGTCTTGGAGCAGTAGCGAAATTTATGGACAGACTGTCGGTCAGAAAAAGAGGAAACGTAGAAATCTCATTAGAAGAGTTCAGATTTTAAATAAAATAGAAAACAGAGAATATAAACACGTTAAAATCTTAAATCTCTTTGTAGCTTCTGGAAACCTGGATGATAATATGATACAAATAGGGCTTGTGGAAGTATTCAAGAGAAATTATATCGAACTTCAGCCGAACAGAGTCCATCTTTTCTTAGCTTAAATTTGGTAGCGCCAGACAACTTACAGGGAAACTATCCCATGTCTGATATCTGCCAAGACTGCCTAATGGTTCAGGGGCTGATACATATTTTTTTCAATGGCTAACACACCCCTGACCTGGCCTCTCATTCAGTTTCATGATCATTTTACAGACGGTAGGGATCCTTGGACGAGTGATCAGCTCGTCGCAAGGCCTCTACCTAAACACAGGACAACACAAACACTCACAAAACATCCATACCGTGAGTGGAATTCGAACCCACGATCCCAGCGTCCGAGCGAGCGAAGGCAGTTCATACCTGACACCGCGCGGCTACTCTGACCTGCCGGGGCTGATATTAGTTCACAGATAAATGGACGGACATGACCACATAAAATTTTATTTATTTGCAAGGAACGCCCAAAAAAGATGACAAAACCTACCATAATAATTATGGATGAATGTCAGCTTCACGAACTACAAGCCACACTGAATCAATGATTCTTTCTTCAAGCTTTGCTCCACTACCGAAATACTGGGCCTCATCAGTATGGGTTTTGACACAATGGTTCAATTACTGAACACAATTTCTACTTTCGTCAGGTACTAAAGAAATGTTGGACCGTAATGGTACAGTGCATGGGTCGGTTATAGACTTGAAGGGTGCTTATGATTCAGTTAGGAGCGAAGCCCTGTATAAAAGTTCTCATTAAATGTGGTAAACCCATGAAGGTAGTTAGGCTAATTTGTATGCGATTAAATTAAACCTACAGTAAAGTCCGAAAAGGTAGATATTTTTCTAACATATTGTCTACACAATAGACTGATACAAAGAACTTCTTTATCTCCGATGATTTAAAATGGTGTTTTAGAATACATCATTAGAAATGCCTGAGAAAATCATGATGGACTGAAAATGAATGGGCTAGATCAGCCGTGTAAAACATGCGGCCCCCATAGCCACAAAGTGGGGCCCCTCAACTTTTAAAGCTAATTGATATTAAAATCAATATTAAAATTTTAGTAAAAATATTTTTTGTAAAGACAATTTTCCAGCAGACCAGAAGACAAGAAGTATCACGCAGATATAAATTATCAGGCTGCAGGAAATTCAATGTTTTGCTATTTCTAACATAATTTCTTGTGTAATCTCTGTTTTTACATATTGAAAAGATGTTTGATACTTGTCAAAAATAGCATTCTCTTGCTTCTTAAAACTGTAAAATATGTGACTTTAGGTAATTATATTGAAATTATTCCTAAATAATAAATAGAATTAAATTTCCTTTTATCAAAATCTAATGCAGATTTCCATTTTGAAGTGCGGCCCTGGACTATTACAAGTTACTGTACAAGTTGAGTTTGAAATGCCTGGGCTAGATCATCTTCTGGTCTATGCTGTTGATGTTAATTTATTCAATGAAAACATAAATATTATAAAATACAAAGAGACACTAATAGACGCCAGTAAGGAGATTGGTCTGGAATTGAATAAAGCCAAAGCTTGAGGTATATTGTTGTTGCGTCAGCAGAATACAACACAGAATCATAATATATAAATAGAGACAATGAATCTTTCGGGAATGTGGCAAAGTTCAAATATCTCGGAACGACTGTAAGAAATCAAAATTACATAAAACGAAGAAACTGAAATTATTCGTCCAGAATACGTCTTGCGTCTTGCCGTCTGTTACCTGAAATGTAAAGACTGCTGTGTATAAAACTGCAATTGTATCTATGGATATGAAACTTAGTCTCAAATTTCGTGAAGAACATAGATTGGGGGTGTCAGAGAGCAGGATGCTGAGGAGAATATTTGGGTCGACGTCGGGTGAAATAAGAAGAAACTGGAGAGAAGAGAGTAATAAAGAGCCTCATGATTTGTATTCATAAAAAACTCCGTGACTTTAGTACGTAAGCGAACTATACCGACCGAGCGACCGCCGCTTGTTGGCGAAGTAAGTGCCAGCTTTAGCGGAAAGAGGGTGTCGCGTGGTCAGTGGAACGAATCCCCACAGCCGTTAATTTAGGTTTTCTACTCATTGCCAAGTATAAATATAATGATCCAGTCAAGCAGTATAAGACTGGCGGGGCATGTAGAACTCACGGGATAGAAAATGAGTGCAATCAGGTATTTGGTAGGAAAACCTGAAACGAAGAGACCACTGGGAAGACGTAGATGTAGCCTAAAGGAGTGCGTTCAACTGGATCTTAGAGAATGAGGATGCAGGTGTGGAGTGGATGTATCTGGCTCAGGATACGGACCAGTGGAGGGCTCTTGTGAATACGCTGAACAACCGTCGGATTTTATAAAATGTCGGGAATTTTTTCAGTTGTTGGGAGACTACAAGCTTCTCAAGAGGGCCTCTGTTCCAAGGAGTTTGATAGCTAATTCACTTAATTTTTCAGACAATTTCCTGTCGATTTAGTTTAAACCGTATTTAATTTTTCGCTGGAAATTAATTTATTCCAGACAAAAACACTTTGCGCAATATGATAGGCAGGCTTGCATCTTACAGTCCTTATTCTTCCCAACTATTCGAACCAAAATTATTCTCACGTTACTGCTTTTGTCCAATGTTCAGTTTGTTACAGAAAGAAAAACAGGCATATCGTATAATGAAATTCAGATTTTATTACAGTTTAACAATTTTCTCTGCACGTTGAAGGCATTTCTGTCTGTAACTTCTTATTTTTGGATGATGGGAGACCTAAGCATTTAACTTTACTGACTAAAATATTGATTTTTCCGGAAAACGATGTTGAGTGACATAAGTTAATTTCTGGGATTTTATGTAAACTTACACAGAATGTCCAACAGGAAAATTCGATATTCTGGGAGGTCATAATATCGGTCATTCTAAGCAAAAATTATGTGTATGTACAAGTGTCCTATTCTGAATCGGTTCCGAGGCAGAACTATTTCACTGTACAGTTCAAGAATGTTGACAAGAAAATTATATATATATATATATATGTGTGTGTGTGTGTGTGTGTGTGTGTAATGCCAGTATTTATTGTTAAAGTGACAAAGTTGGCAGTTTACCTAGTATAATATATTTTCGAAAATTCCACCGCCAACAATACACTTTGTAACTCGTGTGAGAACATCGTATCAGCATATTCGGCATTTTTGAAGATATGAAGCATTTTTCACAACACTCCTACAATGTCAATATCAACAGTCACAACGGCCAACTGGCGCTTCACACGCATTCGCACGCTTCAAACAGTGGCGCAGTACGGTAAGAGGAAGAACAATATTAAGCGCCAAATCCAAACTACTGATCAGTGAGGTAGCTCTATCTCGGAGACGAATCGCAATACAACAGAAGTACATACAGACTTCTTTACTTAGAATGACCAACACTATGACCTCCCAGGATTTTGACCTTTCCTCCTAGGATACCCTGTATATGTGAATTATACCCAAAAATGTGGAATGCACAACAATTAATCGATTAAGTGATTAATTTGGTAACTTTTAACGACCCATTCTTTGTACAATTTAAACAGATTTATGTAGGCCTACATAATATAATATTTCTTTTAGGCACAAACAAATATCAATATATATGGGCCTTTATATGAGCGTGAATTTAACCTTAACGTTGGCTTCTATATCAATTTCTTAAGACAGGTATTTGTAAGGTCACAAAATTAAGTAGGCCTGTAAGGCCGGGGTTCGATTCTCGATGAGGCGCTTGTATATTTTAATTGACCTAATTTTCCAGCTGCATTATGGCCCTGGGGTCCACTCACCTTCTAACAGGAATGAGTACCAGGAATCTTTCTGGGGATAAAGGGTGACCGGCACTTAAGGCTGACAACCTCACCGACATCTGTGAGCTGATTTTCTAGAAAGCGTGGGAGCCTCACAATTACACAGGCCTAAACGGCCTGTTACAGGGATAGCTTTACCGTTTTTGTACATTTTATCTAAGTCTCTTTCATTAATAATATCTCTACAAGCTCAGATTAATTTTGTCTTTTACAAGTATTTCTGTTACAAAGAATGGGTATTTAACCTATGCTTCTGAAAGAACAACCTGGTCTTACCTGACTCATGCGTGAACACGGCCTGGCACACGGAACAAGGCCACATCCTGAGAGACGTGGTGAGTTGCGAGGTCTCGGGGTGGCAGGCCAAGTGCTTCCTCAGGCTACCCTCGTTCACATAGTGCTTCCCGCACACGGGGCAGGGGTGGTTGGCTGTCCTCCGTTTCGCTAAATACGGATCGGCACGGGGATAAGCGAAATAAACCATTGGTCAATGCAGAAGCACGGGTTAAAGCACCAAGTAAGTCAAGCGTGTTAATATGTTAAATTATATAAAGTGGTCCAAAAGTCAATTAACCTAAAAAATTCTCCCATATTTTTGGAAATATTTAGATTTGAACCGGCCAGTTAATTTGTAGAACTGTATCACAGCGTTGTGAGTTGTGCATTTCTAATAATTTGGGTGAATTCATTAAGTAATAAAGAAGTTTCTAACGTAATTAAGATTACATTCTACTATCCAGTTAACTGGCTTTTGGGCCACCTCTGTTATGTTCTCCAGACTCGTCATCATGTAACAAATATGAAGTGAACACCCTTTGACGATCAAGATAGGAACCTCTACACCTGGCTACAGAGTGTCTATTCACATGATGGCATAAATAACAGCGGGGGGAATTCAAAATTATCCCCGCCTCATTTATTGAACAGATATAATTACAGCAGTATACTGCGATATATTTTTACTACATTTTACTACTATTTCGAGAAATTTAAAAAAAATCTGTCTTTAGCTACGATGTGTCCTGTGATACCTTACAAACAGCTTTCGGCTCGATTAAAATTTTCTTACGTAATTTCAGTGATATACAGCCCATAGGAAGACTGATGTCACCGTGTAACGGTGAGGGTGAGGGCACACCAAGGAAATTGGCAACCAAAACGCAACCACAATTTCCGAGAACCGTTATCAGCCTTGAGTTGAACGCATGTTACTGAATGGAGCAGCGCAAATTGAGGAAACGGCAAAGCAGTTCAACTCAGGCTGATAACAGTTCTCGGAAATTGCGGTTGCGTTGCGGTTGCCAGTTTCCTTGGTGAGCCATCGCCCTAAGACCCAGGTCCACTGATTTTGTAGACTCCTTAGGAAACCCGGCCTGGGAGGGAAGACAGGACCGAGCGTAAAAATGATGAGTACTCATGTAAATTCCTGTCATAAAAATTGATCAGAATGGGCAAAGGAATCCTTCACTAATACTGCATTAAGAAGTTTTTCGGCTGAATATACAATCAACTGCCGTTGGAGTGGTTTATTTTTCTGTTCCAAAGAATTAGGAAAGCCAGTTTTTATTGTTGTAAATCAGAAACCTTATCTAAAATTTGATTTCACTGGCTGTTCCGTAAGATAATTAAATGGGGCAGGGGGTAGCGTAGTTGGTTGAGGCACTATGCTACAAGCCGTAAGGTCGCGGGTTCGAGCCCGATGAAGTGGATTTTTCCAACTGATCTAATCCTTCCAGCCGCAATATGGCCCTGGGGTCGACTCAGCCTCTAACAGAAATGAGTACCAGGAATCTTCTTGGGGGTAAAGGGCGGCCGGCACGTAAGGCTGACAACCTTGCCGCCATCTATGAGCCGATTGTCTAGAAAATGTGGGAACCTCAACATCTCACAATCCTACGGGCCTCCACGGCCTGTTACAGGGATAGCTTTACCTTTATTTTGTGTTTTATTTCAAAGCTCCACATATTAACTACAGTGCTCATATAAATGCTACTCAATATATAAAAGTTTATTTGGTCAAAAACGATCTTTTTATATTGTAGCAGATGTTTCAAGGGAAACGGTGGATTTGAAATTATAATTCCCCATTTATAGACGGTCCTGCGACTAAGTAGCCTACTACTAGTAGATGTGTTTATAATTAGAGGATCCGTATCACAAGAGATTTTTATACATGTCTATGTAAATTTCCCATAATTTTAGATTTTTTTATATTTTTAAGTAAAATGTCGAAAATTATACGAAGATTACATAAAAATGTATGATTTCGAAATATGGAGCTGATGACATCTCGACCGCTGGCAGCTCACAAACCTCACACGGTGATTTTTTTTGGGATAAAGAACACCTGGTATTTTGTTATAAATACTTCATATATTAAGTTCACGTGTTTCGTCGTTTATCGTCAAGAAACCAAAATATTTCAAGAGATTTTTAAAAAATTACACTTTCAAACCCCCGAATTAATTTATTTTAAGCTGATCACAATATGGAAACTCAGGCTTACACAACAGTTCTGGGACTCAATACTAGATGGCACTGGGATAGGGAATGATCACCTAGACCAGCATTTCCAAAAGTGTGACATGGTGGAGTAAACGAGGGTTGCTTAAAATTTGACGATAATAAAGATGTTTACTTATATTTATTCATGTAGTACCATATTAAATAATTAAAATGAAATTTAATATTATATGCGATTAATAGATATCATTCAGGTTATTTAGTAATTATTCTCTTAAACCGTTAAAACCTATTTTAAGTAATTTTCTAGGTTGGGGCCTAAGCTGATATAAAGGGAGTGTCAGATTGGAGGAGGTTTGGAACCGCTGCTCTAGGCAACACGGTAAGTGGCCGAGTAATGTCTATGATCAGAAAGACAAATGTACACCACAGCATCAGAGACTACACTGGGCACGATAAAAAAATGTCAGTCCGTTACGTCGACTGTTGATAATGAGACGGAATTTATATTGGGAATATCTTTGTAACGAATCAACGAACAGAAAAAGGTTAAACTGGAGAGATATCTTCCTCATCATCTGAAAATTAATTTCGATAATACAGCTTACTAATTTAAAAACATTGCAGCTTAATCTGGAAGTCGATGTGAGATTAAAAAAAAAATACGAAAAATATTTTTAATTTCATTAGAATCTTCTGGCTCTCCTGCCATGAGACTAGTTAACGTTGTTATAGTATGAAGTATAAGGGCTGGAACTTCTTGGCCCTTGCACCGCGACCTACAGTGGCCTATTGTGCTTTTATTATAGTATAATGTTAAATAATGATAAGTTATTGTTGTATTTTGTATTGTATTTTGGCTGTGGAGTGTATTCATGCTTAAATTTCTTTTTGTGTCAAGCAAATGTACAAATATATCAGATTTCTTAAAACTGGCATATTATACTTTACAGATACGAAATTTTGAAAATTCTTGCGTAATTTTATACATTAATAGCAATAACAGGCCGATCACGGTAGCCGAGCGGTCTAAGGCATGTACTGTCTTCGCTCGCTTGGAAACTGGTATGGTGGGTTCGAATCCCACTCAGGGCATAGATGTTTAGTTTGTGTGTGTGTGTGTGTGTGTGCGCGCGCGTTTTTCTGTGTTTGTTTACAGGTAGAGGCCTTCGGACGAGCTGATCACCCTCCTAAGAAGTCCTACCGAATGTGTAAGATCTAGAAAAACCGAAGTGAACGTAGAAGTTCATGGAGATAGGTCTAGGCCCACTGGGGCTGCAGTGCCAAGGGGGAAAACAATGGCAATAACAGTACGATCGTCATTTGTTTATGAGCTTTCAAATCTTTGATAAGGGCAGAAGAATGTGTAAGACATGAGGTTAGTAAACCACTGCACAGAATTCACATCTATGAACTAGGAATACCATGCATTTAAGTCATACTTTCTTAAGTATGCTACAGGCCAGCTCTTAATAACCATGCTGTAATTTCCAAACAGAGTTTAAACTAAATGGCAAAACCCTTTCAATCATATGAGCCACTTGTATTTGAAAGTAGGCATCCAGTTGTACTTTGTATCTCAGTAAAATAATGACGGGCTATTTTAATGCAGTACTATACTTACTTACTTACTCATGTAACTGAGCCCTTCTTGAGGAGCCGCCAATTCTGCAGCTACTCAAGAATTTCCCAGCATTTTATGGAACCCGAAAGTTCATTTCCGTATTCACAAGAGCCCTACACTGGTCCCTATCCTAAGCCAGATCGTCCAATCCATATCATCCCATCCTATCTCTCTAAGATCCATTTTAATATTGTCCACCCACCTACGCCTTAGCCTTCCCAGTACTATATGTTATTAAAATGCTTTCGCTTTATTTTCAGACGTCACTTAATCGAAGCTCAGTTGCGGTTTGTCTCCTTTGGTAGAGGAACGGAAACGTTTGATAAATACAGTGGAAAACAACACATCTAAAATGACACAGAAAGAGCTGCAATTCAAAAAGATGAATAAATGAAGGTCAATCAACGACGTATCTTGGGATACCATATGATTAGCTACAGTGAATTAGAATCCTTAAATAACTGTTGCCCGAAGATGATCTCGTAAGGACGAAAGCATAATTACAACATATATTTTAATAACATTTCATACATTTAACGATTATTTTATGAATTAAATGTGAATTAGTGTTATTAATTTGTTGCATTATGGATGGAGAAGGAAATAACTACAACAGGGGCAGGAGGATCTCACACAGTATACGACAATTCCCAAATTTTGTTGACTATGACAAATCCTGAGACAATAAATGATGCATCCTAACATATGTGCCCCGGGTGCGATTTGAAAATGCTTCAAGAGCGATTCGGACTGTTGTCGACAACTACTGAGATCGGTGAGTGTTATCAGCACTACAAAGGTAGTGGCAATTGTTTCTCTTACCTGTTTTAACTTTCGATAACTTTAAATTACGCTCATATAGTGTATTTGTCATTTACTTCTGTTCTAAAAATGGATATCTTCTACGCTGAAGATGGAGGAGATTTGTTCCTCTGAAACATGTGTGATCATCTACTGAGTATACAGTGTCACATTCCAGAAGCATTCGTGTCTTCATAGTCATTGTAGTGAGTTGAAATCCCACGTAAACATTAACTGCTTACAATAAAGTCGTTAAAGTATTGGTCTTCGTAAACAGATATGCAAAGTGTTCTCTTTTACGGCGAAACTGAATACTGCACATTAAACACACACATATACAAGGGAGAGTCAGTAAATAGGTCACAAATGGATATAAAAAGTAAAACATGTGATATTCGAACCTGGAAAAACAAGTAATTCTCGTCATACCCTCCGCCAACTTCGATACAAATGTGCCATCATAAAGATTGGTTCAGGCATTCAAAAGTGATTGGGGGGGGGGCATACATAGGCAGAAAGGGCGTAAGTTTGCTTTAGGAAAGTAGGCTAAAAAGCGCGCCAACAGGTC